GCTCGTAAGGGTCTTCTGATTATAATAACTATCACCGTCAGTTTAACCATCCCCCAGACAAGCTGGGATGCGGCGGGGGGGAAGAAAGACTCCTGCATTGCATGTGTACTTCAGTGATTGCAAGCTACATCCCACTTTTAAAGATATCAAAACGTGAAAACATGCCCATCCTAGGCTCAAGAAAATAGGACATTCCCCCCATTATGTAGATGAGGAAAGAAGTGGCCCAGAGAGGTGAGGCAGCATGGGAAAGGTCACACAGCAGGTGAGCTGGAGGGCATCGGGGAAATGCACCTGTCTGAAACACTTTATTTCCTGAAAAAGTCACATTCTACCTTTCTTCATTAAGGCCAGAGCCAAGGTCTGTGAAAGACCAACTTGTGACCTGCTTCCACATATACATAGGCTGAACAAATTGTCCCCATGGGGAACTCTGTGGCTAGGCTGAGGAAAAGACCCAAAAAGATTTTCTCAAGTTCAAATCCTGTTTTGTGATCTTGGGCAACTTAAGCAACCTCTTTGAACTTCAATTTCCTCATCTGAAAAGCCAGGGTTACAACATGTGTCCCACAAGATTGTGCATGAGATGAAAACATGGGATCACATGCACGAGATCGCACCTAGCATGCCACCTACTGTGCCGTCCGTGCACAAGAAATTGTAGCCATTATGATTCTGAATGGTGCTATTTTTGGGTTGAACCATATGAAACTGGGTTTTACAGGTCCAAAAGCAATTGGATATTATTTATTTCATACAGGTCACTCTACTGTTATTGAACAATAGTCCTTTTTGTGGCTGGCAAGAAAGGCAGAGCATATCGGCCCCATTTTGCAGAGAGAGAAACTGAGGCCTAAAGAGAAAGAATGACCTACCCAGGGCCATGTCCCAGTCAGGAACTGGAATCTGCCTGCAAGCCTCTCCTTTTCTTGCTCTTCTTTTCTTCACTGTCTCAATCCTGGGCTGCTGGCCATCATAGGTTGTGACCATAGCTAGGGTTTGATTCATTGCGAACAGGGCAAACAGAGGCTGGCCTGGGCTTTCCCCTGGAGCTGGCCCAGCCTGGGAAGTTCACCTGGCTGTTTGCTGACACTCAGTTGTGCAACAGGAGATTGGGAACTGTGGGTACTGCCAGTTTAGGAAGAGTTTCCTTCTGTCCCCGACAACCTCCTATCTGCCCCTGCTGGGAATGAGCTGGCCCACCTCCAGCATCCTCACTGGCCCTCCTGGGATTGGAGACCAGGCCGAGAGTCGTGAGCATCACAGTTCTAACATGGCTCCTCTTGCTTTCCCTCTCTGGCCCTTCTTGCTGGCTTTTTCAATCTCTACCCATGTCTTCCAGGCCTAGCAGATGCTGCTGATGCCCACAGAGCTCTGAGTGTAGTGCAGACCTCTCTCCTATCCTCGCAGCGCAGGCAGCTGCCTCCTGGAGGGATGGCTCTGCTCCAGGGCCCCATGGCAGTCAAACCCAACTTGCCAACTCAGACCTCTGCTCATCTGTGCACACCTGTGACTTGTCATGTTCCCAGCTCCATACCACAGGCCTCCTCACCCTTTCCTGTAGCATGGGACCACTTACCATTCCCAAATGCACAGGGTTACCTTTACCTCTGGGCCTTGGCAGGCACTGTTCCCTCTCCCCCAAGTACCCTTCCCCATCTGGCTCACTTCTATTACTCCTCAGCTTGAGGAGTGTGATGGTTAATTTTATGTATCACCTTGACTGGGCCACAGGGCGCCCAGATATTTGGCCAAACACTATTCGGGATGTGTCTGTGAAGGTGTTTTTAGATGGGATTAATATTTGGGTAATCCCATGGGTAGACTGAGTAAAGCAGATGGCCCTTCCCAGCGTGGGTGGGCTTCATCCAATCAGTTGAAGGCCTGAATAGAACAAACAGGCTGAGTACGAGTGAATTCCTTCTGCCTGACTGCCTTCAAGCAGGGACAGGTTTTTTCCCGGCCTTTTGGACTCAAACTGAACCATCAGGTTTTCCTGGGTCTCGAGGCTGCCAGCAGCCAATCTTAAGGTTTGTCAGCTTCCATAATTGCATGAGCCAATTTTGTATAATAAATCCCTTAATATAGCCTATTGGTTCTGTTTCTCTGGAGAACCCTAACACAGGGGGTCACCTCCTATCTTCCTCCTGCTTTCATCAACTATACCCCCCACTTTTCCCCCTCTCAGGCACATGGCCTCCCCATCTCCAAGCCCCTAATCACACATGGCCCAACCTCTCCAGCTGCATCCACAGGACTCAGAGCTACTCAGACATGCTGCCAGATCCGTGCCTGTACCTCCAGTGCCCACACACAACTGGGCATGGGGAAGGTGCTCTACAAACTCATGTGGAGGAAATAAAGATAAGAGTTCCTGAAGGCAACTGTTTAACAAGTGTGAGTACTGAAAGTACTCCATAGCTGCAGCAGAGAACAAGGTGTGTTCCTTGCTGTCACAGAGCTTGCTGTTTATTTATTTACTTATTTAGAGACAGAGTCTCACTCTGTCACCCAGGCTGGAGTGCAAAGGCACAATCTCGGCTCACTGCAACCTCCGCCTCCCAGATTCAAGCAGTTCTCCTGCCTCAGCTTCCTGAGTAGCTGGGATTACAGGCGCACGCTGCCATGTCCGGCTAATGTTTTGTATTTTAGTAGAGACGGGATTTCACCGTGTTGCCCAGTCTGGTCTCAAACTCTTGAGCTCAGACAATCCACCCGCCTTGGCCTCCCAAAGTGCTGGGATTACAGGCATCAGCCACCGTGCCTGGCCTCTCGCAGAGCTTTCTATGGGGGAAAACAGACATTGCAGTGACAACTTTCCCATCTACAAAATGGGAAGCATTCTTGAACAGCTAGGGGTGACAATGTATGCCAGACCTCAGGAATGGGCCATTCTGGCTCAATTCTATTTCTGATTGTCAGGCAAAGAAATAAAAAGAACATTTGTATTGCCCCTGCTTCCCAAGTTTTTGAAACTATTTTCCAGCCTTAGGAAGCAGTGCAGTGCAGTGCAGTAGTTCTTGGGACTTTAGCACGCACCAGAATCTACAGGGGCCTTGTGAAAAACGGATTGCTGATCCCATCCTTGGAGGTTGTGATTCAGTAGGTTTGGGGTGAGGCCAAGAATTTGCATTTCAAAGGAGCTCTCAGGTCTGCTAGCTCTAGGGTCTGATGCATGTAACAGTGCTGTTAGCAGTCATGGATGTGAATTACAGCGTTGCCTTTCTCCTTTTTTTTTTTTTTTGAGATGGAGTCTGGCTCCCTCCCCCAGGCTGGATGCAATGGCACGGTCTGGGCTCACTGCAATCTCTGCCTCCCAGCTTCAAGCGAGCGATTCTCCTGCTTCAGCCCCCCAAGTAACTGAGACTACAGGTGTGTGCCACTACGACTGGCTAATTTTTGCATTTTTTTTTTTTTAGTAGAGACGGGGTTTCACCATGTTGGCCAGGCTGGTCTCAAGTTCCTGACCTCAGGTGATCCACCCACCTCCAACTCCCAAAGTGCTGGGATTACAGACATGAGCCACTGCGCCTGGCCTGAATCACAGCTTTGCCTTGGCCTCACCTGTGATCACGGACCCTTCCTTGGGCTTCGGTTGCCCTCTATGTAAAATGGGAGGGTGGGCACCAGGCCAGGATACTCAGATATGTATACATTTCAGATAAACGACAACAAAAAAAAGATTTTTAGCATAAGCATATCCTCAAAATTGCATGGAACATACTTGTACTAAAAAGTAGCTATTATTTATCTGAAATTCAAATTCATCTGGGCATCCTATATTTTTATTTTTTAAGTCTGGCAACCCCATCTCCCAGACTCACACCCACTGACTTCTTCCGTGGCAGGTACTATTGTGACCTCTCAAGAATATGACAGGCAGGGATCACTCCTTTTGAAGCATTATTCACAATAGCAAAGGTAGAAATAGCCCAAATGTCCGCCAATTTGGCTCAAATGTCCATCAGCTTATGAGTAGGTAAACAAAATGTGGTTTATCCATACAATGGAGTATATTCAACCATAAAAAGAATGAAGTACTGATACACGTTACGACACAGATGAATCTTGAAAACATCAAGCTGAGTGAAAGAGGCCGGGGTCACAAAAGGCCACATACTGTATGATTCCACTTGTATTAGGTTGGTGCCAAAGTCATTGCGGTAATGACATTTAGAAGTAATGACAAAAAACCGCAATGACTTTGGCACCAGTGTAATATAAAATGTCTGGAGCAGGAAGAGCCGTGGACACAGAAAGCAGCCTGGTGGTTTCCGGGGGTTGGGGGAGGGTGTGACTGCTAAAATGGGTACAGGTTTCCTTTAGGGGTGATGAAAATAACACGAAATTAGATCATGGTGACATTGCACACCATTGTGAATGTACCGTCGGGAGTGGCAAATTTTATGTTACGTGTAATTAACCACAATCATAATAAAAACAAATTGCTCACATTAACCTCAATGTGCCTCCTCCCTGTGTATTAGGAGTTGGATTGTATCCCCTCAAAAGATATGTTGAAGTCCCAGCCCCCTGCACCAGTGAATGTGACCTCATTTGGAGATAAGGCCTTTGCAGATGAAAGTAAGTCAAGGTGGGATCATGAGGGTGGGCCCTAATCCAATATGACTGGGGTCCTCATAAAGAGAAGATGGAGCAGAGAAACACATCAGAACACATGTGACCGCAGAGGCACAGACCGAAGTACTTCAGCTAAAAGCCAAGGAATGACTGGGGCTACCAAAAGCGGGAAGAGACAAGGAAAGATCCTCCCCTTGAGGGTTTGGAGGGAGCATGGCCCTGCCAAAACTTTGCTTGTGTGAACTTCTGGCCTCCAGAACTGCGAGAGAGACTGTTCTGTGTTGTTTGAAGCCACCAAGTTTGTGGTATTGGTTACAGCACAAGGAGGGCATCCTCTGAGCATCTCCTCCCACTCCCTGTCCCAGCCCAGCCAGAAACTTCCCCCCTGAGCTTTGAGAAGAAGCACAGGACCACAGGTATGTCATTCCATTGCCTCAGTTTTAAATATTTATTTAAAATCCAGAGGGGAAAAGGAGAAACGGAACCCATTGGGGTTTTAATACACTGACATGTGGACAGACATAAACGAGGACAGCAGGAAAACCCAAGAATGAGACAGAGGCCAGTGGATTCTGGCGGCAGGAGGGATCCGAGCGCTGAGATGAGGCCCGAGCTGCTACAAACATGCACTTCCACGCAGCGCGTCCAGGCTGGGGCGGGGGGGCGAGGATACAGAAGGGGGGACGGGAGAGGGGACGGGCCAGAGTGAGGTATTAAATAATAAAGATCAAATCCAATTCCCAAAGAGACACAACTTTAGGAGAGAAATACACAAACAGAGCCTTTCACATACATTTTCCCCTTCTATAAAAATAATTCCATGGTTAAATAACCTCAATTCCAAGGTTAAAATAACCTCAAAATCCAATTCAAGCGCCGACTTGTTGGCTGATGTAGCACAATTCAGAGGACGCTGAATGTCACTATGGTGTCGAACTCCGAGATTCCCATTATTATTCTGTCTCCTTGACCCAAATTTACACTTGGAGCTAATGACAATGGGTTTCTACAGAATTTAATGACAATGAAAAAGCAGGAACGATGATTGCATCTTGCAAGGACAGGCTCCTGGAAGTGAGGGCCTTGGAAGAGGTGATGCGGCTTCCTGAGATGGTTCCATGTTGATGCTTCACCTCCAACGCTAGCCCTGACCCAACGCCGCTTTTGTGATTGGTTTCTTCAAGGTCAAGTCTTCACCCAAGACCTCTCCAGGGCACGCTTTCCAAGGCCAGCCTCACCTCCCTCCAGGACCGTGAAGGGCCAAGCCAACATGCTTCACACCCAGGCCTCCCCTGCTGCCTTAGAAGGACAGACATTTCAAAGTCCATAAGTTATAAGGTAAATCTCTCTACTTCTGGTTTCTGGTAGGGTTTTTTTTTGTTTTGTTTTGTTTTGCTTTTTTTTTTTCCTTTTTTCTTTTCTTTTTTCCTCCTTAGCAGATTACCTGATGAGCACAAGGGTGATGCTAAGAAAATTGAAAAATTCCCCAAACTTTGTCATTTGGAGGAGAGAGAAAGATGCGGATGATACGCTACATCCAAAAGTTTCTCCAAAGTCTGTGGCAAAATAATGGTAGCACCTTCAGAATCTTAAATAGGGTTGTTTCTTTTTTTTTCCTTAAAAAAAATCACATACACTATGAGAGACAATTGCGAGCACCAGCGATTTCACAGTGGGAGGTAGCAAACATGGGCACCCCCAGCCCGAGGATCTCACCGCTTCCCACGCCTGGCTGCTCCTTCCCATCCTCTCACCTCTTTCCCGGGTGAAAAAAAAATAGTAACGCACCTTATTTTTGTTTGTTTAAATAATATATATATATACTTCTGTCTTTCCTTTTCTCCGTTTTTCATGTCTCCTTTCTAATATTGCACATCAATAGCTCCCTAGCAGGGACCAGCTGACGAGATGCCCCCTTCCCTCAAGTTGGCTTGAATGTGGGGCTCTTTGGGCAGGAAGCTGGGGAGGGAAGGGGGTGGCCGCAGAGCTGAGAGGCCATGGGGCTCAGGCGGGTTGCAGGTCCAGCTTGCTCTGGCTGGCTCTTTGGTTGGTCTTTGGGGCTAAGCTGGGATCCATTGTTCCCAAGGATACCCTATCCCCTCCTACCCCCACCCACTTCTACCGGGCAGACAACAGCTGGGGTCTGCCCAAGGACTCTTGGGCAGGGGAGCTGCCTCTCCTGGAGCTATCTGCCCCTCGGTACCCTCCCCTTGCCTCTTCCTCTTCCCTCCTCCATGAGGCCTAGAGGGGCCAAGAGGTCAGAGGTCAGAGGAAGCACGCAGGTCCAACTTCCAGGCGGTACTGCTTCCCTGATGAGGCAGGAGGGAGGTTGTCCACACTGACGATGGGCAGCTGTTGGGGGTCTTGGGTCCGGAAGGTGAAGAGTGTCTGATGCCAGCGGCCATCTTGGACCTGAAAGCGGAAGGAAAAGTGCACACGTACATCCATTGTGGTTCTCATCATACATCATGAGCATTTTTCCTTCCATCTTTCCTCACAATTTTTAACAGCTATACCATATTTCACTGTAGCAATGACCTATATGGCACATTTAGATTGCTTCCACTTTTTTAATTCTTTTTTATTTTTTGAGACGGAGTCTCGCTCTGTCACCTGGCTGGAGTGCAGTGGCCGGATCTCAGCTCACTGCAAGCTCCGCCTCCCGGGTTTACGCCATTCTCCTGCCTCAGCCTCCTGTGTAGCCGGGACTACAGGCGCCCGCCACCTCGCCCGGCTAGTTTTTTGTATTTTTTAGTAGAGACGGGGTTTCACCGTGTTAGCCAGGATGGTCTCGATCTCCTGACCTCGTGATCCGCCCGTCTCGGCCTCCCAAAGTGCTGGGATTACAGGCTTGAGCCACCGCGCCCGGCCCACTTTTTTTATTCTTATAAGTAACGCTGTCATGAACATCACTGTAACTAAACCTTTGTGCACATTCTTAATTATTTCCCTAGAACAAATTCCAGAAGGATTGTTCTAAAATTGCTAGACCAAAAAACAAGTACATCTCATATATATATATATATAAATTTATTTCTTCAATAAGTTTTTGGGGAACAGGTGGTGTTTGGTTACATGAATAAGGTCTTTAGTGTACACGGTACCCAATGTGTAGTCTTTTATCCCTCACCCCTCTCCCACCCTTTTCCCCAAGTCCCCAAATTCTGTTGTACCATTCTTATGCCTTTGTGTCTTCATAGCTTAGCTCCCCCCAAAATAAGTACATTTCTAAGGCTTTGAATATATATTAGAGCTGCTATCCAGAAAGCCTCTACCAATTTATTTTTTTCCAATAGCTTCATGCAAGATTGTTGGTTTCCCCACATCCTCATGAACACTGTGTAGTATTATTAGTTTTGTTTAGTCCTATAAAACTGATTTTTGTCTCCTCTCAACTTTCTGTCTTCCCTTTCCCTGACAACCCACCCTGTTCAGGGCATTTGAAAATGACCAAAACATACATTGAGAAGAAATTAGCCTGACTAGGGTGGGAGCAGGGAGAAGAAACATATCTTTGAAAGAGCCTTGCAAGTAAGCATAACATCTACCAGCCCAAAGAATTTTTACCAGCCCAGACCTCCCCTCAGAGCTTCCCAGAGAGGAAAGTGAATAAAAACGGTTTTAGAAAACTGTTATATTACACAAAGATAAAATTATATCTATCACATTAATATATTATAGCATAAAATGTTAGATATGATCTTATAAGAGAAACACATTTTTCCAAACAGGTGTTTTTCCAGTTGTCCCCACATGAGAGGTCTAGGAGGGGCTCTGAGAGTTACCTTGCAGCCATCCATGGACACCTCGGGCCGGAACTGACCCCCAGCTTCGAAAATCTGTCCGTTCCAGGCCCGGAAGCGCACGGCCTGCTTGGCTGGGGTCTGCCCAGTGCCCTCCTGCCACACAGTCATGTTAAGGCAGTGGATGGTGATATGCTGGGTCACCTCAGAGCTTAGCAGGTGCAGGAAATTCATCTGGACCCGGCTGATGGCAAACTCGACCTGTAGAGAAGCAACGGCAGTGAGCGGCTCAGACTGCCCGCCCCCCGCAACACACACACCAAGAGTTCCCTGCTTCTCTAACGAGGGAACAGGGATAGGCCCCTTCCGGGCAAGCATTTCCTGATATGCTCCCAGACGTGTGCCCCCTTGATAGACAGGGAAACTAAGGTCTGCGTGAGCTGGTCTCACAGGTTCTTGGCTGTGTAAGTGGGAAGGGCCTGCCTGAGTCCAGAGCCAGAGCTTCAAAGGTCTTGATGTCATCTGATCCACTCCCCTACTGTATCGGGGGTCTTTGGGCTGAGCCAGGATCCAGGGGCTCAGCGAGGGAGAGGGTTTTGCCCAAGACTGAGAGGCTCATGGAGTGCAGAGGAAATAAGAGGTGCTTTCTAGACCCTTCCTAAGTCCCAAGACCCCTGTGAGGTGGGGTGGGGTGCTGCCGGAAATGGCAGACCTGAGAACAAACAACAGGGCAGGATTTACGGCTTCAGCGCTTTCCCACACAGAGCCAGGGCCTCTCACTGCCATTGTTTCTGACGGGGAAGGCGACCCAGTCGGCCATTCATGCTGCCAACCCAGGCGCCAACTCCAGCCTCACCCCTCTGCTAGGCAGGTTTGCTGCGTGACCCCAAAACCTTCGAGTCACCAGGGACGAGAGCCTGTGGAGGCCACCAAGTCCCTGCTGGACAGTGAGCTCTGGCCGAACGGGCAGTTTCGAGTCTGACTTCCCTGTCCTGGCTGAGGGCCTGGCACATGATAGGGACCCAGCAAAGACCTGGCAACTGGCTGGCTGCCTCTCCTAGAGATTCTCAAACTGCCAGTCTGACCCAGTCAGCACAAGGCATCTCCCAGGGCGTGTGGCTGATGAAATGGCAGGATTCCTTTCCCCTGAAGCCAGAGCAGCTTCTCACTGTGGCATAAATTGCCCCCAAATTCAGAAGGCTTAGTGGAACTACAGACCCACAATCCACTGAGGACCCCTGCACGAGGGAGCTGTCAGGTCCCATGTGCCACCTGCCTTGGTGTGTTGTCCAGTGACCCTCTACCACCTAAAATGCTCAGCCCAGAAACAGGCACGTGGCATGCAGGCACTGAACATGAGTTAAGTATCTGCATACACAATTCATGCAACATGCTTCAGCTGAACATCATGCTAGTTTTCTCTTTTATTTCACGCGGATGATTCATGGTTCCCCAAGCCAGGCCAGCTTAGCCAACTGCTCTGCTTTAGATATGAGGCAGAAGATTCTATTTGAAGAAAGAATCATCAGCATCATATGACTAGAAAGGGTTTGGAAACCACAGATTAGTCTGACTCACTCCCAATTTATAGATAAGGAAACTGAGTCTCGGAAGGAGGAGAAAACTTTCCCAAGGGCATGCAGTAAGACAGGCACAGCTCGGAACAGAACCTGGGTTGGTTGTGGCCAGGGCAGGCTGGGGATAGAGAGAGACAGGCTGAGGGGCAGTGCAAGAGCTGATGGGTACCTTGGAGGCCGTGATGGGTTTGAGACACGTCTGTCCACCATGCGTGAAGTTGCAGGAGACTTCAATGGTGTCGGATGAGCAGCCAAGGTTTGGATCCACCCAGTAGGTACCTGCAGGCAGTGTGGGATGGAGGTGATGTACGTATCTGGGGATGAGCCCGGACCTTAGTTCTGCAGATGGACTCTGCATCTTGTGACCTGCCGAGCCCCAGGTGAGCATGAAGTCAGCGTGGGTGGGCAGAAAAGGGATTCCTCCAACCAAGAGATCGAAGGAAACCTTCTGGGCAGAGCTCAGAGCTGGCAGAGCCCCAAGAAGGGGGTCATAGGGCTAAGTACTTGCCTATGTTGCTACTGGGAGGTATCCATTTTACAGAGGAGACAACTGACATTGAGAGAGGCTGGGCCACTTGCACAAGGGACTGGGGATCATCTAGTCGAATGGATTCTTCAGGCCTAGGGCTCCTCCTAGGGCCGGCCAGGGGAGGGTAGGAGTCAGGGCTCCCACCCCATCGGGCAGCGCTGCTGCTCACATATGGCTCCCCACTGGCCTTCTCAGGAAGCCAAAGGCTTTGCAGCTCAAGAGTGGAACAACCGGCCATCCAGACCCAGCCGCTTGTACAGAGGAGGTAAGGGCGGCCATGGCTTACCCCAGCTCACAGACCCAGTTTGAGGCAGGACTGACATTGGAACTCAGGTCTGTCTGGCTCAGCTTGTCCTTCACAGCACATCAGCTCACACATGAGAGAGGAGAGTCCTCATGCTCAGAAAGGGGGAAATCCTGGCTCGCCCAGGAGCCTGTGACAGGATGGGCCCCGGGGGTGAGGACTCTTTTAGCCTCAGGGGCTTTTTCTGGCAGAGCTCTTGTCTCTTTGCACTGAAATGGTCATTCCCAGCATGTGGATCCGAGGGCTCTGGACGGGTGGGACCACTCCTCTGTATTCCTCCCACCCCAGGAAGCACAAAGTTTGGTATATTGTGAGGCTCTGTGACTGTTGAGTGAATAAATGACTGCCAGTGTGTCTGTGTCGCCGAGGACAAAAACTCAGCCAGAATGAGGCGGAAATCAAATACTCCACCTGCCCGAGCTCCCCGACGCCAGGTGCTCCCACCCCCGGCAGGAAGCTTTCTCACCATCCACCATCTTCTGCTCACAGTCCATGAGGTCCCTGCAGACCCGGGCGGGGTTCTCTTTGGTGCCCAGGGGTGTCTTAATGCTCTGGATGAGGTTGCTGAGGTAGTGTAAGGTTTTAAAGATCTCTCCTCCCTGGTCAAGCACCAGCCGGTCCGGATAGCTGTAACCCTGTCATGAGGAGAGGGTGGCCACTGGGACCTTAGGGTCCTGGTCCAGCCTGGGGTCCAAGCCTCCACAGCCCCAGGTTCTCATGACCTGGGAGATATCTCAGTTCCACGGTCATGGCTAGAGCAGGGGTTGGGCTTCTCTCTATTTTGCAGATAAGAAAATGGGCCAGGGACAAAGTGCAGGAGGAGGGGCTATCACGATGGCTCAGAGGCTTGAAAAGAGCTCAGGGTCAGACCATGTTCTCTCATACGGGACAGGCAGAGCCCTGTGAATAAGGCAGGCGAGGATGCATGGAACACTCGGCAGCGGCCCCCAATCTCTATCTGCAAAGCGGCCCCCAACCTCTATCTGTGGAGGAAGGTGAGGTGCTGGGGGGAGCTTACTTGGGAGGCACACAGCCCCCACTGGGCTCCCCTAGGGTGGGAGCCAGGGTCTCTGTGAGGCACCAGGAGACGGGACTGGGGCCAGCAGGCACAAGCGCTGGGAGGACTTCAGCTCAGAGAAGGAGCAGTTCTCCACTAGGGGGCAGGAGTGGACAACGGATGCTAAAGAGCCGGCCATTCAGGGTTACCCTGGCCAGAATTCTCCCTTAAGCCTCAGCTTCCAGAGCTACAAATCAGAGCTAAATAAACCCTCCTTCCACTGGGGGTGGCAGAGGTCACGTGTGTGTGTGCATGTGTGTGCACGCATGTGTGGACGTGTGTCAGAAACCAGCAGCCGCTCACCCAATCCATTTCTTCTGCCTGGACAGACGACATCTCCAGCCTTATTTGTACTCCAGCCAACGAGATGGAAGTGGAGCGATGCCAGCCCCATAGAGGCCTGGCCCAGAGACCCTCCTGCACAATTCTCTATACTCTTTTTCCCTGGTGGTGCCTCCCCCTGGTGTAGAGTGACCTTGGGGGCCATGAGTGCGAGGGGAAGAGGGCAGAGCCCCTGGCAGGTAGCCGAGGTCTCTCATCAACACGCCAATTAACTTTTATGTGCATGAGAAATAAGCCTCTATTCTACCACCAATGCAGAGTGGGTAGGAGATGCTTGATAAATGGAGCCACTTTCCTTCATCTTGTTAAGGATGTTGCAGGTCAGCGCTCTCCTGTGCGGCATCACTGGCCTCTAGAGATGGAAGGGAATGCTTCCCTTCTCCAGCCACACTGGATCCTGGGCGTCCCCCTCTCTTTCCACAGGAAAGAGTGGACCTCCCCAGATAGATGGTAAGGGGCTCATCCACGCTGTCCTCCACCCTAGACTGTGAGCCCTCTGAAAGTCAAGGCTGTGACTGGCCATCCATCTGTCTCGGCATCCAGCACAAGGAACAAACAGAAATGTTCGTAGGCGGTCTGAGCTGGGGGCAAGTTCCCCATCATGTGGGGAAGGCAAGGCCGCAAAGGGGGCTCCAGACCAAGGCTGGACTAGAGGACATAGGAGTCCCTTCTCAGCCTGGAGTCTTGGAGCTGAGCTGACCACAGGCCAGGGTCTTAGCAGAGCCCCATGGGCTAACCATGAGCTGCTTGCTCCTGAAGAAACGTGGGGGTGAGCCCTGGGAAGCTGCTGTGGGCTGTGGGCTTTGGGCAAGCTTCTCTGCCTGACTCCAGCCAGCAAGAACTCGGAGACTCTGAGAGGCCTCCGGGGAAAGCTCAAGGGCTCAGGGCCTCTTTCTGGCCTTGCTCTGCCTGCACTGGCCATGGGACCTTGGACTCACTGCCCACTCTGAGCCTCAGTACCAACCCCCATTTGTGGATGTGAGATGCCACCAAGACCAGGACTCTGAAATGCTCCATGCAGGCCACGTGGAGGGCACTGACCACACATGGGGCCATTATCTATTTCTGTTTCTCCCAGGAAGGGATCCCATGTGGGGAGAGCCCCTGGAGATACCTCTGGTCTGAGTGCTCCACTGGTGTCCATCCACGTCTGGAAAGCTACCCCAAGATCATCTTGTTGCTGGGCAGGGAAAAGACAGGGTATGCATCGTGGCCCCCCAGGGTTCTCCACACCCATCAGGCGGGAGCCCCAGGGCCACATTGCCTGGCAGGATCTTAGCCAAGTCATACGTCCTCTTTGGAACTCTCGGTCTTCCCTCTCTTTGCAGATAGTCAAAGCTGATCCTGCCATTCCCTCCTCAACATGGTTATAAGACCCAGTTTGAACACTGTGGCCTTGAGCCATGTATGTCTCTTTCCTCTCCCTCATACGTGCTCTGGCACCAGCCGCACTATAGTACTTCTAAGTTCCTAAATACCATGCTCCATCTGGCCATGGGGTCTTTGCACATGCTGTTCTCATTGCCTGGAGGACTTCTCCCTCCCTTCAATGCACCATCTGGCTATCTCCTCTACCAGTGGTTCTCAAGGAGAGGCCATGATGATCCCCCAGGGGATATTTGGCAATATCCGGAGACAGTTTGGTTGTTCAAGCTGGGGGAGGGGGTACTACTTGCATCTCATGGTTAGAGGCCATGAATTCTGCTAAACATCCTCCAGGACAGTCACTCACAGCAAAGAATTATGCAAATGTCAGTTGCACCGTGTCTCAGAAAACCTGCCCTAGACTCATCCTACAGATGTCAGTTGTGATGGGAAGCCTCTCCCGAAGCTTCTGATTCCAGGCTAAGAAGAGGGAGGCCCCCTTTCTCTATGGCCCCAGTCCCCATGTTTCTCCTTTGGCTCGCACTATAATGGTCTAATATAACTTTGCACCCCCAACTGGCCCTGCCACCGGGCTTGGCAGAGACATAGCTGTGGTCTTGCCATGAAAACAGCAAAAGCCCAGGCCTGGGGTCCAGAACCGGGGACTCTGGAGCTACTCCTCAGGGTCACATCCCAGACCTGACACTTACTAACTGCGTAATCTGGGGAAAGCTACTTAATTCCCTTCCTCAGTTCTTGCATCTTGAAAATGGACCTGATAATCAAACTCCCTCACAAGAACTGCTGAAAGGAACACATGAGTGAATACATGAAAAGCACCTGTAACCCAGGCGTGGTGGGCTCACGCCTGTAATCCCAGCCTTTGGGGAGGCCGACGGGTGGATCATGAAGGTCAGGAGATCGAGACATCCTGGCTAACACGTGTGAAACCCCACTATACTAAAAATACAAAAAAAAAAAACAAAAACTAGGCTCGGCGACGAGGGGCGGGTGCTGTAGTCCCGCTACACGGAGGCTTTGAGCCAGGAGAATGGCGAAAACGGGAAGCGGAGCTTGCAGTGGCTGAGATCCGGCCACTGCACTCCAGCCAGTAACGACGGAGCGACTCCATCTCAAAAAAAAAGAAAAAAAAAAAAGCAAATTCCTCTAATTTCTGTTTTCCTGTAGATCTTTTCACTTTCATTTCCTTGCCTGTTTCTGTATGATGAGAAGGACCTAAGGGAAGCATGGCAAGGAGGAGAGGCAGGGCTGGTTGCACTCCTCGTCTTTTGAGACGCAGAGGGAGGGGCAGTGAGAGCAGGCATGAGCAGAGCAGGTTCCTGGAGTGCCGCATGGTTCAAGGTCCTGGCCATTCAGTCTTTCCTATTTAGGCCATGCCCTGGGGGATGCTCTTGGGCCTGATGGTAATAGTGCGAAGCTACCGTGCATAGTAAAATGTGGATGGACTTGTCGCAGGGTTGGGAGTGTCATGCTCTCAGACGCAGTGTCACAGTGGCGCACCAGGGAGGAACGCAGAGCGCCCCAGTCCCCCCCCCCACGGTTCCGCCATCTCTCCCTTCTCAGCCTTCTGAGTAGCTGGGCTATAGGGCCGCCACCATGCCGGCTATTTTTTTGTATTTTTAGTAGAGACGGGGTGTTCATCGTTGTTAGCAGGATGGTCTAATCTCCTGGACCTTTGATCCGGCCCGCCTCAGCCTCCCAAAGTGCTGGGATTACAGGCGTGAGCCAACGCGTCTGGCTGTTTTTTGTTTCTTTTTGAGATGGAGTTTTGGTCTGTTGCCCAGGCTGGAGTGCAGTGGCTCAATCTTGAGTCACTACAGCCTCCTCCTCCTCCGGGGTTCAAGCGATTCTCCTGCTTCAGCCTCTCCTGTAGCTGGGATTACAGGTGCCACCGACCATGCCTGACTAATTATGTATTTTTAGTAGAGATGGGGTTTCACCATGTTGGCCAGGCTGATCTCGAACTCCTGACCTCAGGTGATCTGCTCGCCTCGGCCTCCCAAAGTGCTGGGATTACCGGCATGAGCCACCATGCCTGGCCCCAACTCTCTTCGGATTCACAATCTGAGATGTACGCACCCTGGCAATCAACCTACGTGTACGGAGTACACAGGTAGGGCCATGAACCCAGTGGCTGGAGCATCTTCCCAGATTCAGTGAGGGGCGCGTCAAAAACTTAGGTTTCCCGCCTCCTGGCCCAGGGCTCTTTCTGTTGCTTCCAAGTCCAAGTCTCCAGTATGAAGTGACAAAAGGACCTGGGCATCCCTAGACCCAGCTTAGGGCTCTAGCCACCAGGGCCAGACAGGGCCAGCGACCCCTTCCCCCGAACCCCTCAGGCCTTATGCCAAGTAGGCAAAAGAGAATGTTTCCAACTTACCAATTGGATAGGACCCCCTGGAGGACCCTGCAAAAGAAGACAGCGGGTCAGTCAAATGACAGGGACAGTGTGCTGCAATCTGAAAGTGTGTCAGGAGACCGGGGAGGCCATCAAAGCATGCAGGACCTGCCAAGCTGGCCTCTGCTCTCCCAGAGGCCTGGTGGGCCCCACTGGGCTGGTCAATGCTTTTCTGGAGGCCTGGCCCCTAGGCGTTACCCCACATAGGCAAAAGTGAATGTTTGGGGGATGTCCTATACTCTCCTAGGAGTCTGTGGGCTACAAGAAGCATGTGAAGCCTGTGAGGTTCAGGGTCAAGGCTTAGTCTGCTGGTGAAGCCTTGAGTCTCCTTCAAAGGAACACCCCAGGAGTCCAAGATGCACCCAGCACTCAGTTACCTACCGGGGGGCCGGGCCGCCCTCTGGGGCCGGGAGGACCCTGGGGGAACAAGAGAAGAGGAGTGAGCCCTGGTCCACAGGGTCTTCATCTCTCCCCATCCCAGTCCCTCCTCAAGCAGACCTGGGCCCCTGGGACAATGGTTCCTCCGGCACAGACGGGATGACGGAGGTCCGGAGGGAGAGAATGTGCCACCGGGAGGAGAACGCAGGCTGCCCGCCCCGTGCCCTGCCCCACAGCCCTCATGCCCAGCCCACTCACCCTCGGACCTTGCAATCCCTGGAGGGAGACAGAAGCAGGGGAGAGAGTTAGGGAGCCTGGCTGAGCCATGGCCCCACCCTGGTAGCCCACCCCTCCCCCACCCCTGCAGTGCTGCGCCCCTCAGCCCCAGCCCATCCACTTACCCAGTCCCCACGGCTGCCTTTGTCACCCTTCGGACCCTGCAACAAACCACGGCCCAGTGAGACAGGGCCCAGAGGGGAAGCCCCATTTCCAGATGGGGAAACTGAAGCTCAGACTGGCACTGAGTCACACAGTCAATCCGGAGCCAGGAGTCTTCCTGCCCAACCCCTGCACATACCGGGAGTCCCGAAGGTCCCAGGATTCCGAGGGGCCCGATGATGCCTTCCTTTCCCTAAAGGAGACAGAAAGGCTCATGTGTCCTTGTTCCAGGGCCTGGGGAACAGACACCGGGAAGCGTGTGGAGAGCAGCCCGAGCATCGCAAGGGAGTGGAAGGGAGACCAGGCCATGCATCTCCTGAGCCCCTCCTGTATGCCTAGGGGTGGGCTTCAAGAGTGGAAGGAGGGAAGGATGGGGGCCAAGCTGGCGGGAATGGCAGGAGTGAAGGTGGGAACCAAGCCTGTGGGCAGAGAGGACTCAAGAATCGAGGAGGATGAAGATTGGGCCTAGAACAATCATCTCTGCTGCGACAGCAGGAAGGGGACTCACCATCAAACCGGGTGGCCCCCGAGGACCCTGGATGCCTTTGAAGCCGATGTCTCCAGGGGGGCCCTGTGGGAAGCGGAGAAAGGGCTGTCTGTACTTGGCAGCCGCTGGGTAAAGGGCCCCCACAGCTCCCTCACTCCTAGGGTCTGCCAACCTCTGCCCTCCCTGTCAAGAGAGGCCTTACGTGAGAGGCCCCAAAAGGAGTAAGAAACACCTACAATTATTCAGCAGGTACCAGCAGTGTGCTGGCTCGGTGCTGTGCGGCATATGCCTCTGGTCTTTATTTTTGCAAGTCTTCTACTGTCATTGCTCCCATTTTACAGATGAGGAAACCAAGGCTTAGAGAGACTAAGTGACTTGCACAAGGCACAGAGCAGGTAATCGTGTAACTGGGCTTGGAACCTAGATCTGCTGGAGTACTGGGGGATGAGGGTGTTCGTGCCTGACTCTGGCTGTGTCCCAGCCAATGTTTTCAGTGCTCCATAAATACTTGTTGAATGAATAAATGAATGAATGGGGTGGATGGATAGGACCCCAGAGGAACAGTGAGCAGTGGGAGTCCGTACCTTAGGTCCGAAGAGACCTGCCATTCCTGGGAAGCCCATCTCGCCAGAGTCGCCCTGCGGGGAGAACAGGAAGTGATGGAGCAAGTGAGGTCATGGTGAGCGTGTCCCGCCAGCCACCCAGGGCCTCAGGGCCTGCCTTTTCCCTCCCAGCCTCTCCAGGGATATTGGTGACTCCTCTGTGAGGCAATCAAGTGAGTGTGAACAGCCCACAGAATAGCTGCCAGTCCACCTGTGCTCCAAGGGGAGCCTGTGATCCGTCAGATGAGAAAGCAGAGCCCGGCTCAGGGGTTCCACAGGGGAGGCTCTGCCACACTCAGGAGCTCCTGTCCCAGGTCTTCAAGGGACAGAATAACAGGACCCGCAGCCTCCTCCCACGGCCCTGAAAAGCTCTGTTAAGGAAGGATCCCCTAAAAATAACCCAGTTCGCTGAGGGCCTGTTATGTGCTGCATGTTTTGCCTGTACCACCACACTTCCATGCTCCCACATCAACCCAGGGACACACCATATCCCCTGTTCACAGATGAGGAAACAGGCTCAGAGAGGGCAGGAACTTGCTGAAAGTCACACAGACACCATGTTGTGGACTGCACTAGATTCAAACCCAGTGTGAACAACTTCAGGAACCTTTGGCCTCCTCTCCTGACCTCTGCTCCCAATCTTGCAAAGGGTTGAGAGAGCCATTGGCAAGGGGGGATGCTGGGGCCTGAGCCAAGAAGGGAGGGCTGGGGCCCCCTGGGGACAGAGGAGCCTGCCATTCTTGCACATTCTTGGGACTTGGCCTTCAAGCTCATGAGCAGAAAGCCATCAGTTAGAACCTCCTAGCCCTTGTATTATAAGATCAGGAGCAAGTCACCTCCCTTTACTGAGCCTCAGTTTCCTCATCTGTAAAATAGGATACTATGTCATCTCCCTCCCAAAGGTGCTGGAAGGATGCAATGAGACCAGGCAGGTCAAGACCCAGTGCTGAGGGAGGTAGGCTGAGGGGTCAGGCTTCGAGAGGGTCCCATTTAATCTGAATTCTACCTGTTCATTTTTAAAAGATAATAGCTTAATTGAGCTATTGGTGCTTCTCTTGGTGGTTTTGATTTGTCTTATAAATGCTTATTGGATATTTGTGTATCTCCTTTGGGAAAAAAATGTCTCCTTGAATACTTTGCCCATTGTAAATTTGGATTGTCTTTTTATTCTTGAGTTTAAGGGTTCTTTATATATTAGAGATACATGTTCCTTATCAGATATATGATTTGTAAATACTTTCTCCCCTACTGTGAGTTTTTTCACTTTCTTGATGGTGCCTTTTGAAGCACAAAGGTTTCTGATTTTGATGAAATCCAATCTATGTACTTTGCTTTTGTTGCTTGTGCTTTTGGTGTCATAGCTAAGAAACTATTACCTAACACAAGTTTATAAAAATGTGTTTTTATGTTTTCTAATAGTTGTACAGTTTTAGCCTTTACATTGGTCTGTAATTCATTTTTAGTTAATTTTTGCCTGTGGTGTGAAGCAGAGGTCCAACTTACTTCTTTGGTATGTGATATGTGACTGTGTGATTGTCTCAGCACTGTTTACTGAAAAAAAATTCTTTTCCCATTCATTTGCCCCACCACTCTTGTTAAAAACAATGGACATAAATGTGAGGTTTTATTCCTGTCTTGATTACTATACTTTGGTAATAAGTTTTGAAATTGGGAAGTGTGAGTTGTCCAACTTTGATCTTCTTTAAAGATCAACATTTGGGTATTCTGGGCCACTTGCATTTCCATATGAGTTTTAGGATCAATTTGTCAGATTTTGTGAAAAAGTCAGCTTGGATTTTGATAGGGATTATATTTAATCTGTAGCTCCGTTTGTGGTAAGTACAGCCATCTTAACCATACTAAGTCTTCTGATCTATGAATATGGGATGTCTTTGCATTTATTTGGGTTTTCTTTTATTTCATCAACATTTTGAGTTTTTCAGTGAACATGTCTTGCCCTTTTTTTTTTTTTAAGATGGGGTCTTGAACTGTTGCCCAGGCTGGACTTGAACTCCTGGGCTCAAGAGATCCTCCCATCTCAGCCTCCCGAGTAGCTGGGACTATAGGCACATGCCACCATGCCCAGCTTCTTTCACTTCTTTTGTTAGATTTATTCCTATTTCATTCTCTTTGATGCCATTATAAATGGAAATGTTTTATTAATTTCATTTTTGAATTGTTCATTGCTAGTGTATAGAAATATAATTGATGTTTGTATGTTATATATGTAAACAACATTTTTTGTGTATTGATCTTATATCCTGCAAACTTTGGTTTATTAGCTCTAATCATTTTGTTCAGTACAATGTTGAATAGAAGTGGTAACAGTGGACATCCTTGGCTTGTTCCTGATCTTGGGGGAAGTGTTCAGTCCTCTACCATTAAATATGATGATACCTGTGGGATTTTCATAGATATTCCTCATCAGGTTAAGGATGCTCCCTCCTGTTCCTAGATTGTTGTGTTTTTTCAATCACGAAAGGGTGTCGGATTTTGTCAAATGCTTTTTCTGCATCTATTGAGATGACTGTATAATATTTGTCCTTTATTTTATTAATAGTGTATTACATTGATTTCCAACAGTTGAACCAGCTTTGCATTTCTAGGATAAATCTCACTTTGTCATGGTGTAGAATCCTTTAGGCATATTGCTGAATTTGGCTTTCTTAGTATTTTATTAAAGATTTTTGTATCTGTATTCATAAGGCATATTTGTCTGTTGATTTCTTTCTTGTGACACCTTTTTCTCGTTGGGGTATCAGCATAATACCGGTTTCACAGAACCAGTTGTGAGATGTCCTAACTGTTCATTTTTGCACTCTGATGGCTGTCTCCTATACACCCATCAGGTGCAAAGAAGGGGTAATTTTAAAAACAGTCTTACTAAAGTGAAACTGAAGATGATAACTGTACTATTTAAATTGTATAATCTGATTTGTTTTGACATTCTGTATACACGCTTATAATTGTCACAGCCAAGACAAAAACATACCATAGCCCCAAAGTTTCCTCACACCCTTTTATAATCTTTCTTTCCTGCCTACCCTCCCATCTCCAAGAACCACTGATCTATTTTCTTTCCATGCAGATTAGTTTGCATTTTCTATAATTTTATATAAATGAAACCACACAGTCTATACTATTTTTTATCTGAGGTCTTTCACTCAGCCTAATTATTCTGAGAATCATCTATATTGTTGCATATATTAATAGTTGATCCATTTACTGATGAGTTGTATTTCATTGTATAAATATACCACACTTTATCTAGTCACCTGCTGATACACATTTGAGGTTTTTTCCAATTTGGGGCTATTATAAATAACGCTGCTAAGCCCCTTCAAGTATACTCTTTGTGTGGCCGAATGTCCTTATTTATGTAGGGTAAATATATATGAGTGGAATGATTGGATTACACAGTAAGGATATGCTTAACTTTCAAAGAAGCGGCCCAACTGATTCCATAGTGATTGTACCACTTTAAATTCCCATTATCAGAGTGTGAAAGTTTCAGTTGCTCCACGTCTTTGCCAACACTTGGTATGGTTAGTCTTTTAAAACTCTTCACTATTCTAATAGGTGTGCCTTAGCATCTTACTGCGGTTTGAATGAGCATTTGTCTAATGACTAATGATATTAGTCTTTTTCTCACGTGCTTATTTGCTATCAGTATACTTTTTTTGAAGTGTCTATTCAAATCTTCTGCCCATTTTTAAAAATTGGGCTGCTTATTTTTATTATTGAGTTTTGAGAGTTCTTTATAGGTTCTGGATACAAATCCTTAATCAGATATATGATTCAGAAATATTTTCTCCCAGTATGTGACTTGTCTTTTCATTCTTTTAATAGTGTCCTTTGAAGAGAAAAAGTTTTAAATGTTGAAGTCTGATTTATCACATTTTCTTTTATGGGTCATGTTTTTGGTATCATATCTAAGAAATCTTTGTTTTATCAAGTTCTTGAAGATGTCCTTCTATGTTCTAGAAGTGTTTTAATTTTCAGTTTTACATTTAGATGTATGATCCAGGTTGAGTTAATTTTTGTACATGTTATGAGGCATCACTTGTCTGGCACCATTTGTTAGGAAAGACTATTTTGTACTTGCTGAATCATCTTTGCGCTTTTGTTAAAAATCAGTTGTCCAGGCTGGGCGTGGTGGCTGATGCCTGTAATCCCAGCACTTTGGGAGGCCGAGGTGGGTGGATCACCTGAGGTCGGAAATTCGAGACCAGCCTGACTAACATAGAGAAACTCTGTTTCTACTAAAAATACAAAATTAGCTGGGTGTGGTGGTGCATGCCTGTAATCCCAGCTACTTGGGAGGCTGAAGCAGGAGAATCGCTTGAACCCAGAGGCGAAGGTTGCAGTGAGCCAAGATCGTGCCATTGCACTCTAGCTTGGGCAACAAGAGTGAAACTCCATCTCAAAAAACAAAACAAAACAAAACAGTTGTTCATATATGTATGGTATATGTCTGGGCCTTTTATTCTGTTCCTTTGATCTATTAGTTCATTTATGGCAATACCGCAGTTTCATGATGGCTGCAGATTTGTAATAAGTCTTGAAATCAAGTGCCATTAGTCCGCCAACTTTGCTCTTCTTTTTCAATGTTGTTTCAGTTATTCTAGGTCCTTTATATTTCATATGTGTATTAGGATCAGCTTGTCATTTTCTACATGAAAACCTGATAAGTTTTAGATTGGAATTGTGTTGAATCTATACACCAATTTGAATAAATGTGATATCTTAATATTGAGTCTTTTGACATATGCCCACAGTATATATATCCATTTATTTAAGTCTTCCTCAATTTCTCTTGCCAGTGTTCTATAGTTCTCAGTGTACGTATATAGTTGTCAGATGTATCTCTAAGTATGTCATGTTTTTATGCTATTATAAATAGTATTGCTTTTTAGATTTCCATTTCTTATCATTTGTTGCTAGTGTACAGAAATGCAATTCATTTGTGCACATTGATTAGTGTATAGAAATGCAATTCATTTATGCATATTGCTTAGTTTATACAATCACAATTCATTTGTGCATATTGAACAGGTGTCCTGTGATTTTGTTAAATTCACTTATTCTAGTAGCTTCATTGTAGATACCAATGGTTATTCTACGTAGACAATCATTTCTTCTACAAATGAAACGTTTTAATTCTTCCTTTTTGATATGAATGCCTCTTATTTGTTTTTCTTGCCTTATTGCCCTGGCAAGAATTGCCAGTACAATGTTGAAAAGAAGTGGTAAGGACAGATATCCTTGACTTGTTTCTGCTCTGCTCCTTGGAAAAAAGCATTCAGTCAATCACTATCAAGTATGATGTTGACTAGGTTTTTCATGGATGTCCTTTATCAAGTTGAGGAACTTCTATACCTAGTCTATTGAGAGTTTTTATCAGAAGTGGAGTTAGATTTTTGTCAAATGCATTTCCTGCAACTACTGAGATGATCAAATGGGGTTTCTTTTTGAGTTTGTTAATATAGTGAATTATATTGATTTATTTTCAAATGTTATACTATCCTTGTGTTTCTAAGACAAACCCCACTTGGTCTTGATGTATTATCTTTATATATTCTTAGGTTCGTCTAACTAAAATTTTATTGAGAACTGTGGTAGCTATATGTATGAGGCATATTGGTCTATTGTTTCCTTTTCTTGTAACGTCTTTGTCTAGCTTTGACATCAGGGTATTATCAGCCTCAAGGAAAGAGTTGGGAATTATTTTTCTCCTCTTCAATGTTCTGGAATAGTTATGTAGAATTGGTATTTTTTTTCTTTCTTTCTTTCTTTCTTTTTTTTTTTTTTGAGATGGAGTCTCTCCCTGTCACCCAGGCTGGATTGCAATGGAGCGATCTTGGCTCACTGCAACCTCTACCTCCCAGGTTCAAGTGATTCTCCTGCCTCAGCCTCCTGAGTACTGGGATTACAGGTGTGCACCACCACACCCAGCTAATTTTTTTTTTTTCATATTGTTAGTAGAGACAGGGTTTCACCATATTGGTCAGGCTGGTCTCGAACTGCTGACCTTGTGATCCGCCCACCTCAGCCTCCCAAAGTGCTGGGATAACAGGTGTGAGCCACCACACCCGGCCGTTATTATTTCTTTTGTAAATGTTTAGTAGCATCTGCCAGTGAAGGCATCTGGGCCCAGAGTTTTCTTTGTGGGAAGCTCTAACCACAGATTCAATTTCTTTAATAGATATAAGGCAATTTAGGTTATCAGTCTCTTCTTGAGTGACCTTTGGTAGTTTTGTCTTTCAAGGAATTTGTCCATTCCATCTAAGTCTTTTTTTTTTTTTTTTTTTGAGATGGGGTCTTGCTCTGTTGCCCAGGCTGGAGTGCAATGGCGTGATCTCAGCTCACTGCAAGCTCTGCCTCCAGGGTTCAAGTGATTCTCCTGCCTTAGCCTCCCAAGTAGCTGGGAGTACAGGCACCTGCCACCACGCCCAGCTAATTTTTATATTTTTAATAGAGACGGGGTTTCACCATGTTGGCCAGGATGGTCTCGATCTTTTGACCTCGTGATCCGCCCACCTTGGCCTCCCAAAGTGCTGGGATTACAGGCATAAGCGACTGCACCGGGCCCATTTCATCCAAGTCTTTAAATTTATTGGCGTAAAGTTGTTTATAATATTCCCTTATTATCCTTTAAATTTCTGTCATATCTGTAGTGACACTGCTCCCCTATCCCTGATCTGATATTAGTAACTTCTGTATTCTCTCTCTCTCTCTCTCTTTTTTTTTTAGTTTCCTGATTAGTCTGGCAAGAGGTTTATCAGTTTTACAGATCTCAAAAAGCTAACTTTTGATTTTCCTTTTTTTTTTTTTTTGGTTTATTTTTGATCTTCTTTATTTTCTTCCTTCTGATTACTTTGTTTTAAATTTGCCTTCTCCAGCCCCAACCCTCAGTTTCTTAAGATGGAATCTGAGACCATTTATTTGAGACCTTTGTTCTTTTCTAACACAGAAGTTATTACTATAAAGATCTCCCTATATATCAACAGCATTTCGCCAATTTTTACATGCTGTTTTTTACTTTCATTCAATTCAAAATACTAACTTCCCTTTTGATTTCTTCTTTGACCCATGGGTCATTTAGACATTTGTTACTTAGTTTCCAAATATTTGGAGATTTTTCAGATTTCTCTGTTACTGATTTATAATTTAATTTCATTATGGTAAGAGAACATTCTTTGTGTGATTTGAATCCTTTTAAATTTTTAAAGAATGTATTGATAAAATATTTATTTATACTATTAAGTAAATTAATATTTATATTGCTTATATTACTAAAATATTTTATTAATAAAATTTATTGATTGATTTTAAGGTTCAAAATAGTGTGTCTTGGTAAATGTTCTGAATGAACTTACAACGAATGTGTATCTTGCTGATATTGGATGTGGTGTTCTATAAATGTCAATTAGGTCACGTTGGTTGATAATACAGTTCAAGACATCCTTACTGATCTTCTATTTGCTTCTGTTCTACCCATTAGGAGAGAAATATATTGAAATCCTTGGGTATAATTGTGATTTTGTCTATTTCTCCTTGTAGCTTTATCAGTCTTTGCCTGACTATTTTGAAGATCTATTGTTAGGTGCATAAACATTTATGATTCTTACGCAATTTTGATAAGTTGGCTTCTTTGTCATTATGAAAATACACTCTTTATGACTGTTAGTAGTCTTTGCTCTGCAGTCCGTTTCATCTGATATTAAAATAGCTACTCCAGCTGTTTGGGATGAATGTTAGCACAGTATGTTTTTTTCTATATCTATCTTTAACCTACTTGTATCTTTATATTTGAAGTGGATTTCTTGTAGCAGTAGACGTAGTTGGGTCTTGCTTTTTCATCCACTCTGACAATCAGCTTTAACTGGGGTATTGAAACGGCTTGCTATGTGTTTTCTATTTGCCCTGTTTATTCTCTGTTCATTCTTCCTTCTTTTTCTAGGTGGGGTGAGCTGAATGTAGCCTCTGGGACGGGGATGAAGGCAGTGAGGCACAGAATGAGCACTGGACTGAGAGTCAGCAGAGCCCACCTTCTGGCTGTGATCACCCTCTCCTCATTCTGAAGGGACCACTCAGGTCTCTTTCCTCAGCCTCCCCCACCACCTGGTTGAGGGGTGGCAGAATGGTACCTGGTACCCAGATTTTATCCCTTGTCACAGAGCAAGGAGGTGGCATCTCGGTCAGTGTGTTAGTGTGTGTGTGTGAGTGTGCATGTGTTTGTACATGTAGGTGGATGTGAGTGTGTGCATGCGTGTGTGGGCATGTGTATTCTTTGGGGCTCACTCACCGGCTGGCCTTTGGACCCAGGCTCCCCCTGGTTTCCAGGGAGCCCCGTTCTGCCCTCCGTCCCTCGTTTGCCAGGGGGACCCAGCTGTCCGGGTAACCCACTCTCACCCTTAAAGAAACACACAAAAAATCACCAAAGTAGGAAGGGGTTCTAAGGGAGGAGGAGGTGGAGGGGGCCTAGGGCAGCCAGAACAGTGATTCCACAGGGTACCCGAGATTGCAGAATGCTGGGGCAACAAATGGAGGCCTGGTGGAGTGGGGGTGACAAGACTTTCACCTCCCAAAGAGGAAGGTCTCTGTCTCTCCCCTCGCATTCTGGGCCCTGCCTTCCCAGCTCCTCTCCTGCAATTCCTCTCCTCCTTATTGCTTTTCCCCAACAGCATGCAGTTCCCTCCTCCAAACCTCAGCTCACACCCCTAGAATGCCTCCTCCCCATTTATTTATTTATTTTTATTTTTTCAGACAGAGTCTCGCTCTGCCGCCCAACCTGGAGTGCGGTGGTGGGATTTCAACTCACTGCAACCTCCGCCTCCCCAGTTCAAGCGGTTCTCCTGCCTCACCCTCCTGAGTACATGGGACTACAGGCACCCGCCACCAGGCCCGGCTAATTTTTGTATTTTTAGTAGAGACGGGGTTTCCCCATGTTGGCCGGGCTGGTCTCGAACTCCTGATCTCAAGTGATCCTCCCGCCTCAGCCTCCAAAGTGTTGGGATTACAGGCGTGAGCCACTGCGTAGCCACCGTTTCCCCTTCTATTCTCATTCAAATCTTCTCTGGGTCAAGGCCATCGCTCCCTCTGCCTCCTGTGTCTCAGAGGGTTCCAATCTTTCCTCAATTAAACCTCGAGCCCAGGAAGGGCAAGAACCACATCTGAGTCATTCATCTACATCTCCCCTTCAGAGTCCAGCCCTTGGCTCTAACGGATTCACGGCGGCCCCCTCCTCCCACGCTGCACTGGGAGGCTTTCTAAGGATGCCTTGGGGATCCCGGCTGCAAGCAACATCTGTTGTTCCACAAATGTCCACGAGAGGGCGTCCGTGGACAACTCAAAAACCAGTTGAGGGTTTCAAGCGCCTGGTACGGGCGGTATTTATAGTTCCCCCAATGAACTATCAGTCTAGTTCAATCTTGGGGCAGGACCCCTGAGAAAGGTCAACAATATGGACTCCATTTTCACACAGGCCCTGGGACATGGGTGCCCAAAGGGTCGGAACCACTAGAGTCTGCATCAAGGCAGGAAGGGCAGAGGGTGGGTAAGTGGATTAAGAAGTATCTGACCTTGAATCCTGGGGGTCCCTGTGCTCCAGGTAAGCCGGCCACACCTGGATTTCCTCTCTTCCCAGCAGGACCCATGGGGCCAGGGTCCCCATCGTCTCCCTGCTCCCCCTGTTAAGAAAGCAGGCAGAGGAGGGTCTCTTGTGTTTCATGAAATAGCCAAGGAAGCAGATGGCTCAACGCCTGGGTGAACCCTGGGTGTAGCTGGAGGAAGGGGTGACACTCCAGGATGGAGGTCAGATGGCCTGTGTGTGACGTGGCTGGACCAGGAGGAGCTGAGGATTGTGAGTGGGGAAGGGTGGGATTCTGAGTGAGGAAGGAGCGGGATAGGAACCCTATCCACCAGGCAGGGGAGGAAAGGACGGTCTTTCTGGGTGCTGACATCCAGGAGAGACAGTCAGAAGGTCCACACTCCCAGGTGCCAGGGAATGAGATGGTTGCCCACCCCAGGGAAACTCCTGGATAGTTGGTTCTGCCCATCCAAGTTTCTAAACGGGCTCCTCTGGCCCATGGCCTGGGGAAGTTCCCCCACACCTGGTCCTGAATGGAGCCACCATCTGTTAACACTAAGCCCCACTCACCTGCTGTCCCACTTGCCCGTCCCTGCCAGGAAGCCCATCTGCTCCAGCGATGCCCTCGAGGCCCTGTCTCCCCACCACGCCCCGGGGCCCTGGCAGCCCCTGCAGGCCCTGGGGGGTACATAAAAAGCTGGTGAGGGCATTTGGTGGGGGAAGGGGGAGAGGGTGGGCGTGGGAGCGGGCAGGGAGGCTGGCTGGAAATAGCAGCTGTAGTCACTCACCTGGACCCCCCTCCGGCCTGGGGCCCCCGCCTTGCCTTGCTTTCCCTTTGGTCCCTGAAAAATCAAGGGCCACATGATGGAGGCTGCCTGGTAGAGGTGTGGGACACTAGGGGCTCTGGAAGGAGGGACTGAGAGGATTGTGGGCCTCTGGGTGAACACCTGATGCCAAAGATGTGCCCAAGTGCTCTGGCCTGGAACCCTGGGGCCAGGGCTGGCCTTGGAACCTCCCGGGGCTGTCACTGAGCCTGCTCTGGGCCCTGGTGTCCCCTCATTGGAACCGGCAATTTCCTGGGAGGAGCCAGAGGCCACGGCTCCACCGGATCCTTTAGAGACTGGGTATCACTGAGGCATGCAGGTGAGGGGGTGCACCCGGGGGAGGGAAACAGCATTAAGAGGGCACTGGCCCAGCCTGGGGTCTGGGGGAAGGCAGGGGCCCTAGGGTAGAGGCAGGAAGTGGCTCCTCCTCAAGCACCCTGTCTCTGCCTCCTCTTCCTCCAGACCCCCTCAACTGACTTCTCCCAGTTTTCTCTCTACAGTGTGGTGTGGGGGAGAGAGAGGCCAGCTTTGGCTCTTGACTGCCCTGGGTTCAAGTTACTCTGGTTGGCCTCAGGCAGGTGGCTTCCCTTCTGGAGCCCCAGTGAAATGGGGCTAATCGTCCCTCCTCGCTCAGGCTATTTGAAGGGAGATGGGGTCATAGCCAGAAGCAGCGTGCCGGGCTCCTGGTGGGATGCCCCCCCTGCCCTGCCTCGCAGCCTCTGCAGCCTGCGTTTGGTTCGCTGTGTGACTGTGGGTCAGGCTTCCCTCTTCCCAGGACTCAGTCTCCCCGCTGAACCCCCGGCCCTCTTACCTCTGCGCCTTTAGATCCTTTGGGTCCCGGCCGCCCCCGGGGTCCCGGATGCCCCTGCAAACCAAGGTGAGATGACGCAAGGCAGCCCCAGGATTCTCTCCCGGGGAGGGTGGCCAGTCTCCGCCTGGAGGGGGAGGGGTGGGGAGGGGTTTGGGGGTGCAGGTTCTGGGGGTATCCCCAGGGTCAGGGCAGGAGAAACAGAAATGGCTGCCCCAGACCCTCCTGCAGGGAGGGTCCCTTTAAGTTTTAAAGGGTCCAGTTCTTTCATTCCCACTGCCCCCCAACTCAGGGCAGGAGGCAGGGATGGGACAGGAGGCACCACTCACGGGTTGGCCCTGCTGGCCTGGCTTTCCACGGAGGCCTTGCACACCCTCCTGTCCCTGGAAGCCAAAGAGAGACAGGTGAGGGGGCCCATCCTGCAGGGGGCTGGGAGGCAGCACAGAGAAGCCTGGGAAGTTCTTGTTCTTTCTAGACGTGTGTCATCCCCCATCTCCCTGACATGCCTGATCCTGCCAGCAGGTAGGAGCTCTGATACTTACAGGGTACCCAGGGTCCCCCGGTTCCCCGCGGTCTCCTCGATCACCCACAGGGCCCTGAATGACAAAGACAACAGCAAAATTTGGGTCACCAGGTGCCGAGGATGCCAGCCCTGGGCCCTGTTAGCCATGCCCTCTGCGGAGCTCTCAGGGACCTGGCCCCTGATCGGCCCACCCCTCTCCATGCAGCGGGAGGCCCAGATTCCACCTAGGACTCCCCATGGTCCAAGGAGGGAGGGGGCTTACCCGATCTCCAGGTGGCCCAGGGGGCCCCTCAGCCTTGCCGTCCTCGCCCTGCTCCCCCTGTGGACACAGAACCAGCTTTAGGGCAAACCGCCTGCTCCTGGGGAATGTGGGGAATTCCAGACAGAAAGCGCTTCGTCAGAGATGAAGTCTAGCCTGCTTAGGGTTACAGATGGGGACGCAAACTAGAGAGGAAAGGGTAGGTGTGTCTGAGCCAGACCCAGGCTGGTGTGGAGCCAGGACTGTGGAACACAGAACAGCGCTTTGTGCCCTCCAGATGCCCTTGAGCTGTAGGATCCTGCAGGAAGTCAGGGAGCTCAGACAGCTGGGTTCACATCCCGGCTTGCAAAGGATCAGCCGCGTGGCCCTGCAACACGTCCCTTCCCATCTTTGAGCTCCTCTCCTCAGCTGGGGAATAGGGGAGCGGAGCGGAGTGGGGTGGGGGGAAGGGGGCAGCGCGTGATGCCCGTCAAGGAGTGGTGAGGACTCCATGGAATGATGCGCGACGCCTGGCAGGGAGTAGCACCAACTCCAGCAGCTGGCACGCATGGGCACTGCTCCGGGCCAGACACAGGCGGACTCATGACATCCGCAGTGCAGCACTGTGAAGCAGATGCGATTGTTATCCCAATTCACAGATGAGGACACTGAGGCTCGCAGAGATGATGGGACCTGCTCAGAGTTCTTCACCCTCTATCTGAGAGTCTCTGTCTCTGATCCTTGCTGGGAGGAACCAGCTTTAGGGTGAACCTCCTACCCTCCATGGTAGCCCCAGGCGGCACTTGGCAGCCAGTCAGCATGGGGGTGTATCCATAAGACAGGTTCCTATGTGCAGAGCGGGACTGGAGCGCGTCCCGGTGCTGTTCAGAGGACTCGGTGAGGAAAGGCACAGGAGCCCCCAGCAGGCTGCTGCCCACGTAGCAGGGGCTCTGCAGATCGCATTAAAATTGCTGTAGCCGGTAACAATAGCAGCAGTGAGACTGTGTCACATGGACATGGCCAGAGACGGGGGTCGGGGAGGGGAGCAGAGTTTAGAGGTGAGGTCCTCATGCCATGGCCACCCCAGGCCCTGGTCCACCCGCAGGATAGGTGTAGACGCCACCTTTCAACTACAAGGAAGGTGTAAGCGGAACGGCAAATGGCAGAATCTCAGGGCTCAGAAGACTCCAGCCCCAGAAAACTTGTGTCACTCCTCTGGGCACAGGGCTCAAGCCAGGCACCCCTGGACCCCTTTGTTCACAGGGACTGAAATGGAGCCGGAAGAGGCTGGACAGAGGCAAAGCGTCCCTGGGGCTGGGACACATCCCTGGCTGGAGTCAGTTCTAAAGATTGGTGGTGATCAGCCACCAGCCTGGGGCCTCTGTGGTTCCTGTGGGTGGAGGCTGCAGGCTGGCAGGGACTAGGCCTGAGGTCTAGAACCAGCTGTACCCAGAGGGGTGGCCCAGGGAGCGGGGATTCCTTCTCGTCCCTGCCCACCCTCTATGGTTCTTTGATCCAGTGCTCAAGTCCCACTGTGGACAGAGGCAGCTGGACTTGGGGACTTTGGGGAAGGGGCCTGCCTGTGTCTACCCAGCATGTTCCATGTGCCAGGCATTTTGTGAGGTTTGTTTCATCCAATCTGCACAGTAACCTATGCCGCTGGGACTATTGTCCACACTTAATGATAGGAAACTGAGAGGAAGATCTTAGCCAAGGCCACTCAGGAATCGAGGCAATCTGGGCCCAAAGCCCAGACTGGATCGGCTTGGATGGTCGGGGGCCCTGCCCGCCCCATCCTGGATCACCTATACTGATGCCCCGCAATGTGAGTGTAGTTTGGGGATGCATTTTTTCGCACCAGAAATCTGGTAGGATACTGTCCCTCCCCTGTCCAAGTCCCAGAGTCTCATCCCCTCTCTCTGGCCCCCAGCTTTGTAGTGAGCTCACCCCCACGGTGAGCGGGGGTGGGCGGTTCAAGTTCAAGGCGTATGGCTTCCTTATCTCGGGTCTGCTTTTGGTTAGGGAAGTAGGCTCTGGCATCAGACAGATGGGGTCTAAATCCTGGCCCTGCCACCCTCTTACTACAGATCCTGGGCTAGTCTCTGAGCCTCATGGGGACTCAGTTTCCCCACCTGTCCTGTAGAACAGTGGTATCTCTGCACTGGGGCTGCGGTGAGGATTACGGGAGAAATGGCAGGGAAAGAGCTCTGCATGTGGGCGTGCGCTCAGTGTCTCCCCAGGAACCTGCTCTCTCCTCCCCAGCACCATCCAGCTTGTGGCTGGCTGTTCATTCATGGGACTCGCCCTATTTTTGAGACCTCCAAGGGCATCATTCGCAGCCTGTAGCTCAGGGCCTGGAACACACTACATCCTCCATAAATACCTATTGGAGAGCTGGAGGAATGAATGAATCTAATAATGCCTTCTAAGTCAGAAAAGGCATCTGGCTGACGTATATGTGATGCCCCCCCCCCCAACCTTGGCCTCTCATTCCCGAGGACCTCCCACCTGATGAGGCACTCAAGGCTCAGGGAATCCTGGGGACCCCCCAAGGCCCCTGCAGCCTTAAGGCAGATTTGATGTCAGGGTCCCATTCTCAGCAGCCACAGAGACTGCTTCTAGAGCTGCAGATGGCCTGGAGCGGAGGCCTTGGGGCGCACCAGGGCCTCCTTGTTTCAGGATCTGTGTTAACCCCTTGTGTGCCAGCACTGGCAGGCTGCGAGGGCCCAGGAGGGACCCGGGGTACTGAGTGGCACCTTTGGTGGCTTCCTGTGGAATCAGCTGGGGCGGGTGGCCCTCTTTGATGGCTGAGCTGTCCTCCTCCAGCAGGAGGAAGGGGTCAGCTGGGCAGCACGCCGGGCCAGCGTGAGTCATCAACAGCAGGATTTAGTTAGTGGGGAGCTGACTCAGCAAAAGAAAGGCGTGCTGGGGAGGCAGGGGGCAAGCGGAGCGTTCCAGCTGAGCCAGCAGGGGAGAGGGGGAGGAGGAAAGACAGAAGGGACTCAGGCGACGAAGGAAGGACTCAGACACATGGGGCCAGCTGGGTATTGCCTTGGACGTGACATGGCACCAATACTTTGGACCTTCTGGCACTCCTGGCCCTCCACATCCCCACCAGCATGGCGGGGCAAGGGCCAGGGATCAGCGAGGATCCTTCCAGTGATTTCTCTCCTCTACTGAATCTTGAGCCAAGGGGTGGGGAATGAACATGCCTTCTCCTCTGGCTTGGTGGCTCCTTCCTTGACCACTAACCACTGGGGTTCCTCACTCTCCGTCCTAAGCCTCTCCTGCTCAGCATCCTCTCCCCACTCTCGCTGGGTGATCTCATTCACGGGCAAGGCTTCAATTCCCATGTCGACACAGATGATGGAGTTGCAGTTTTAGTCATTACCAGATTGATGTCCATTTCTGCTTCTTGGTTATAAGCCCCGTGAGGGGAGGGATTGCATATTTTCATTCCAGCACTGGGTACAAAGATGACACCCAGCACATACTGCTGAATGTGGATCTGATGGCTCCTGCCTGCTGGGCACGGTGGCAGGGACACCAGCCTTGGCTGCTGCAGGGGGTGAGCCCCCACAGGCTTCTCCAGCCATGGCTACCCCAGGGGCTTTCTCCTGCTGGCCCCGAAGCTGACCTCAGCCTCAGACACGAGGGTGCAGCTGCTTCCCCCAGAGCAAACACCCACCTTTTCGCCTTTTGGTCCAGGAGGTCCGAGGGGTCCCACAGTGCCTTTGTGTCCCTGCAGGAAAACAAGAAGGAGATAAGTCAGAATGAGGACTCAGGAAGGACAAAGGACGTGGACTCTGAGATGGGGACACTGGGCTGCAAAACTGGGTCCCAGCTCTGCCCCAGCTGGCTGTGTGGCTCTGAGTAAGTCTGTGTCTGTCTGAGCCCTGGCCTTCCAGACCGGCCATGCTGGTCCCAGACACACCCCAAAGGGGTGTTCCAGCTTGGATGGTCAGGGGCCCTGCCCACCCCACCCTGGAGCAGACCTGGAAGGGTATCTCGGGAGGACCAGCTTTGTCCTCCAAGCCAGGACCAGGGACAGGGGCAAAACGCTTGCCTCAACAGACCTTCCCAGGCTTTGGCTAGGCCTGCAGGTGCGGACACCCACCGTGGGCTCCTCGCAACATCCCTCCAGGTCTTGTCTTGCCTGTTTTCCTCTCCCTCTCCTCCCCTCCCTGCTGTGTCTCTACCAAACACTGGATCTAGAGCCTCGAGGACCAGAGCTAGGATTCCACCTCCAAACTGAAGTGGTCAGGCCTTGTGTGCCTCTCTATCCTCCTGAGCCCCGGTTTCCCCTTCTGAGTAGGCACCGTACCCCTCTGAGCCCTGTTCTCTCCAGATGTGTAACATGGGTTTGGCTCTGCCATGTCTAAGAAGGTGCCAGACTGGATGCAAAAATGGTCCCTTCCCCAGACAGCAGACAAGGCATGCAGAGCACCCACCCCAGGCAGGAAATACCCAGGAAGGCTTGGGGTGGCTCATTTTGATCTGGTGGCCCCAACCACACCTGTCCCATCCGTGATCTTCCACCCCCACCACAGCTCTGGGCCCAGGGCTCCCTGGGGCAGGTGAGACCCCACATCTTCAGTGTCCCAGGGGTCAGCCTTCAGCCGGGAGGTGGTGGGGCAGAGGCTGGCGTGGGCCTGTGTGTCCAGGCCTGCAGGACAGAGTCAGGGGGTGGAGTGAGGTGATATCTGCTTACATCATAACCAGCCAGTCCCGGTTCTCCTTGGGCCCCCATGCGTCCAGGAGCACCCTACAAAAGGAGGAGGCCCTCGTTGGTATGGAGTGTGGCTCTCACAGCAGGGACACAGCAGTCTCCCTGCAGGCTCCAGCCCCGCTCCACCCAGCAGGGACACAGCAGTCTCCCTGCAGGCTCCAGCCCCGCTCCACCCAGCAGCCTGGTGCTTCCAGGCTGCCCATAACCAAGGTGTGTGAACAAGGCAGAAAGCCAGTGACATCATCCCTCCTCCCTGGAAATCCCCACCCCCGCCCCAGCCCTCCTTCTCCTGGCTCCAGTGGTTCAAGACAGCTGATTGCTAAATTCTCAGGACTTTTACAAGCCAGTGAAACAGAGCTGTTATTAACAATTCCAGTTTATGGACTTACAGTTAAATTCATTTTACTAAAAACCAAGATAGAGGATACTCAAAACTCATCTCCTCTTAGCCGTTTTACTACATTTTCCTCCTCCCTACTCTCATGAAGTTATTTTGGTCTACTGCATCTGTGCGTGTTGGTGGAAACACTGCCTAAGGGAGGGCTGCTGTGTAACTCCAACCCACTCTGCATTCAGTGATGTCATGTCAGTGGCTTGAAACCAGCCACGGAGGGAGCATTTACACTGCAGAAACTGGCAAATACCACAAACCAGCCTGGTTGCTTAACCTTACACACAGCCAGCTTGGAGCTGCTGTGTCACCCTCTTCAGCCTCCTTCCCTTGCTTCCGCCTGGGGTCTTCATCTCCTGCAGGTATCAAAGCCCTCTGGGCCCCTTCCTTCAGGGCAGCCCAGCAATGCTCTGGGACACCCTCAGAGTCATCCAGGGACCTGCAGGAGCATTGCCCTGTTCCTCCCGAATCTATTTCCAGGGGGAAATCTCCTTGTTTGATAAAAACAGTCCTAAGAATCGGGTCCTTTCTCCCCTGATGCTAATAACAAGGCTTATTCATTTGGGTCCATAGAGGGCTTCAAGGGACCCACACACCCCTTCAAATTGCAGGAAATATTCTGTGTGGTGTATACTGTTCCGGAGGCGGGGCTGCAGCTTTCTGCAGGTTACCAGAGCGATTCATGATTCAGAGGTGGCTGGGACAGCGAGCACCAGGTGTTCAGTTAATAGCTGGGGTGGGTGACAGCAGCACAGAGAAGCCTGGTGTCTCCTTTCCTGCCCTTGGTTCCCTCTAGTCCATATCTTACTCCCCGACCCCAGCGAGAGAGTCCTCACCGTTGGTCCCAGGCTGCCCCGGGACCCTTTAGGGCCTGGAGTGCCAGGGGGTCCGGGGTCTCCAGGGACGCCCATCTCACCCAGCTGTCCTTGGTAGCCCTTGGCGCCCTGCAACAGGAGGAGAGACAAGCTGTCACCAGGCCCCAGCAGGACGGAGGGGCCAAGGAGGGGAGGGACTGGGGACGGGATGTGGGGGAGGGACGTGGGCCCATCGAGGCAGAAGGGGGCACCTACCTTGGCTCCAGTGCGGCCCTTCTCGCCTTGCTTCCCTGATTTTCCTTCAGGACCCTGAGGAGAGAGGAGGGAAAGAGCACGAGAAATGAGAGAAGAGAGGAAATTGAGGCGGATTTGCAAGGTGGTCAGACTGTCGGCTCCGGAGGCAGACGACCCGGTTCGAAACTGATTCTGCCACTCAGTACCCGTGTGACCTTGAGCCTGACCTAACTTCCCAGGCTCAGCGTCCTCTGCTGTGTAGTGGGGACAGTGTCACAGAACTTAGGGATTCGACTTGGCGATGCAAGAACGTGCTGACAGCGAGGCCTGGGTGCAGGGGTGGACGCTGGGTGTGTCTTCTGCAATGGCTGGCTTCACTGTCGTCATGGTTACTGTTAGGCATCCAGGGGTGTCCTACAGGGAACAGCTCTCTGCACGGAGCTCTCTCCAGCGCCAAGTACTGTTCCACCCTCCCAACGACCTTGAACGTTAGGCCCCAATGAGACCCGCTTCCAGTTGAGGCAGCCAAGTTCCCAAAGATACAGTGGCTTTTGCCCAGGGTCCCAGCTGCGCCTTGCAGGCCCTGAATCAATCCCAGCTGTGTCTGGCTCCATGCCCAGGGCTCTTTCCACCCCCTGGCTCATGGTCCCCATTGATGACACGAGGTGGCAAATAGAGAGGATTTATAGGTTCTTCCCTATCTCTGAGATGTTGTGCGTCACTTGTGAGCAATTCCTGGGGCATGTCCCTCGCACAGGCCCCTCCTCTCTCAGGGACTGGGCTGGAGGAGCCTCTTCACAGTAAGGAATTGTGCTGGAAAGGTCAGCTGCCTTCTCCCACTTTCCTTGGGGTCCCCAGGCCATTGCCTCTGACAGGCCACTCTGCCCCTGCCCCACAGGGCTTCCCAAAGAGATGCTCTGGCCTGCCCTGCCCTGCCCTGCCCTGGTGTGTGGCGGGGTGGGGGTGGGGGTGCGCAAATTCAGCTTTGTGTCCGCAGTTGTCAGAGAAACTGCACAGCAAGGGTGAGTGAGTGTGTGCAAGTGTGAATGTGACAGTAAGAGACAGACACAGAGAGAAAGAGAAGAGAGAGAATCAATCCTGGGCCATAGGTCAGGATGGAGAGAGTGAGGCAGGCAGCGTTTCTGGCCTAGAAAGGACTTCTTGACTGCAAGCCTCAAAGGATCTAGAAAGAATGTCTATGCTCTTGGTAAGCACTAAGGAGCTGCTTTGATGTAATCCCTCTGGTTGCATTAACAGAGGCACCAGATGTAGAATGAAGGAGGTGATGTCCCATTCGGGAATAGGTATTGTACTTTAAGAAGAGGCACTGACTAATTGTGATAGAAGAGGGACAGGAAGAAGAAGTCCTAGAGGAACAAGGAAACATCTGGACCAACCCAGAGGACTTGGTTCCCGTCTGCAGATTTCTGCAGCTGTTCTGGGGGCAGGGCCAGCCATGTTCTCTAGGGTGGCCAGTGCATGAAAATTATGGGGCAGCTGGCTTTGATTCAGCACAAGGGAGAAATGTCTGCTCTAAAGACATAACGCATCATCAGTTATGATGCCAGAAAAGATCATGCTATCCCAAAGGGACACACCACTCAGACCACCCTGTGGTCCTCAGAAAGGCAGGAACAGTGGCCTGGGAAGGACCTCAGCACAGACTGCCTGCGTCCCAGTGCCTGAGTCCACATGTACCCCTGGACCAGTCCTGCTCTTTCTCTGAACCTCAATTTCCCCACCTCTAGTATGGGACTAGCCCCGTGGCCTCCAGCCACATACAGCTACTGAACACTTGAAATGTGGCTACTCTGACTGAGGAACTGAATTCTTAATATTATTTAACTTTAATTAATTTAAAATTAAATTTAAGGCCGGGCACAGTGGCTCACACCTGTAATCCCAGCACTTTGGGAGGCCGAGGTGGGTGGATCACTTGAGGCCAGGAGCTCAAGACTAGCCTGGCCAACATGGCGAAACGCTGTCTCTACTAAAAATACAAAAATTAGCCAGGTGTGGTGGTGCACACCTGTAATCTGTAATCCCAGCTACTTGGGAGGGCCCAGGCATGAGAATTTCTTGAACCCAGGAAGCGGAGATTGCAGTGAGCACTACTGCACTCCAGCCTGGGCGACAGAGTGAGACTGTGTCTCAAAAGAAAAAAAAAAAAAATGTAAAAGTTGACACACCCAATTATGTTGCTACAAAATTTGATTGGAGTAACTTGGGTATATGAACCTACATTTTCAACTGTAAATTTTATGAAATCTCAATACAGATCAAGTATTTCCAGTGAAATTTTATATACAACGAAAATCTAAACACAGATCAGGTATTTCCAATGAAAATTCACATCTGAATTGAGATGTGCTATGAATATATACTACACACTGATTTCAAAGACTTACTACAAAAAGAGTGCTAAATATCTTATTAATGATTTTTATATTGATTATATTTTGAAATGATATTTGGATATATTGGGCTAAATAAACTATATTATTAAAATTAATTCTTTTTTTTAAATCTGAGACAGGTCTCTCTCTGTTGCCCAGACTGGAACACAGTGGTTCGATCTCAGCTCACTGCAGCCTCAACCTCTGGGGCTCAAGTGATCCTCCCACCTCAGCCTCCCGAGTAGCAGAGACTACAGGCATGCACCACCACGCCCAGCTAACTTTTTAATTTGATTTAATTTAATTTTTGTAGAGACAAGTTCTCAGTATGTTGCCCAGGCTGGTCTTGCACTTTTAGGCTCAAACAATCCTCCCACCTCGGTTACCTAAAGTGCTGGGACTACCGGCATGAGCCACCGCACTGGCCCTTAAAATTAAAGTTACCTGTTTCTTTTTGCTTTTTAAAGGTGGCTACTAGAAAATGTAAAAGGAGTGGCTTGTATATGGCTTGTATTTCATTTCTATCAGACAGCACTAGGCAATCTCAAAGTCTCCAGCTCTTCTGGTGATAAAACACCAACAATCCCTATAACCCTCACCACGGGCCATGTGCTGTGTTCTCATTCTACATAAATGTTCGTTCAATTCTCACCAGTGTTTGGAGGAAGGGATTATTGATCCCGTTTTGGAGCTAAAGGAACTGAGGCTCAGTGAGAGGAAGCCCTCTGTGGGCCTCCCAGCCAGGTCAGAAGTGACACGCAGCTCCTCTACTTCCGGGGCACCTCTCCTTCCAGGCTGGTCATGGTCAGGCAACGGGGAAGGCATGTCACAGTGATTGGTGGCGTTTTCCAGTGCACTGAGGTGGCTGCAATGGCCGACTCATCCCTTGCAGAAGGCGAGATGAGTCAGTGCTGAAGCATCCGGTACAGGGGCAGGGAGACGGGAGGCTGCGTCTCCCCCAGGACAGGGCACCACTTGCTGGGACGTGCCCTCTCCGGCAGAGAGCATACATACAGTGGGTGAGGCTGTGGGCCTGGAATGAAGATTTCTGCTGGGCCCCATCCATACAGATGCATTTCTGGAAAGGCCCCAATGGCTCATAAAATTCTATTTTTAAATACTCAACTGTTTCCAGGCCACAGAGTGGGAAGTATTTATCCTGATGCCAAAGAGACTCAAGGCCCCTCACTGCCTTACCACTCAGCACACACTTGGCCTGGCCTAAGTGACTCTCTTTCCAATCCCGGCATATGAGAAATGGAAGTGATGGCAAAACATTGACATTAACACAGCTACCACCACCACACCACTACTACCATCATCATCACCATCATCATCACCACTGCCCACACCATATCACCACATCATCATCATCATCACCTCCACCCCCACCACTGCCATGACCACCATCATCACTTCCCCACCATCATCACCACCATCACCACTATCCATCATCACCACCACTGCCACTATCATTAGTACCACCACCACCATTATCACCACCATCACCACCACCACCATCACCATCATCACTTCCCCATCATCATCACCACCATTATCATCACCATCACCACCACCAACACCACTGTCATCGTCATCACCACCACCAACACCACTATTATCACCATCACCACCACCACCACTACCCCCGCCATCATCACCACCACTACCACTATCATTAGTACCACCATCACCATTATCACCACTACCATCACCACCACCATCATCACCATCATCACTGCCCCATCATCATCACCACCACCACCACTATCACCATCACCACCACCAACACCACTACCCCCGCCATCATCATCACTACCACCACCTCCATCACCCTCACCTCCACTCCCCTCCCACCCCCACTATCACCATCGCCACCACCATCATCACTGCCTCATCATCATCATCATTATCACCATCACCCCATCACCATCACCACCACCAACACCACTATCCCCGCCATCATCATCACCACCACCAACCACCACCACCACCATCACCATCGTCACTGCCCCATCATCACCATCACCACCACCACCACCATTATCATCACCACCACCACTATCATTAGTACCACCACCACCATTATCACCACCACCATCACCACCACCACCATCACCATCATCACTGCCCCATCATCATCATCACCACCACCACCACTATCACCACCATCACCACCACCAACACCACTACCCCCACCATCATCATCGCTACCACCACCTCCATCACCCTCACCTCCACTCCCCTCCCACCCCTACTATCACCATCGCCACCAGCACCAGCACCACCATCACCATCACCACCTCATCACAGTCACTACTACCACCATCATCACCGCCATCATCTTCATCATCACCACCACCAACACCATCATTAGTACTACCACCATCACCATCATTATTATCATCATTACCACCACTGCCATTGCTGCTGCCCCCACCCACACCATCCACTCACCATCACCACCAGCCACCACCAGCCTCTAGTCACTTTGTCCTCTAAATTTATAAAGACAATCTTTTATATTTCTGGTGCATTTTATAACATGCTTTCCTATCCTGAGTTTTACTTATTCTTTATAGATAAGAAAACCAAGGCTCAGAGAGGGGCAGTGATTTGCCCAAAGTCACACAGAGAATGGGTTGCTTGAGCCAGCCAGAAACTCAAGTTCAACCTCAGGACTCTGGTTCCACGACTTTTTCTGCCATGTGTTCCTGCCCATTCCACAGCCATGATACTCAACACTCACTAAAAAAGGGTGCCTGGAACGCTGGAGCTCAAAGTGATCTTAGCACACATTCCTTCCAAATCCTCCAAGGGCAAAACCAGAGAGGGCAAGGGGTGGGTGAAAGGTCGCAGACCAAGTTCCTAATGCAGAATCTGGGCCAGGGCCCCTCCTGCTAAATTCCCCTTGGCCCACTTCCCCGCCGCTGAGTCAAGCCCGGGGAAAGCCTCCTGGCTGACTCAGCGCCCTCGTATTCTTCTCTAGTTTGGTGAGTTCATTCTGTTGCAGCTGTTTAGGGGGATTGGCAATTCAGTGCTATTTTTAGGAAACAAATATTTTCCCACAACCATAGTTTGTTGCAGGCTAACTTGGATCTGTCCTAGGTTAGTCATGTAAACACTTCAGGGGGGAAAAACAGTGTCAAGAGCAGGCCTGAATCGAACTGGGCTACTTTGCCTAGGTAACATCGATCTCTCCGCTTGAGGGATGAAGAGCGAAATGGACACCCCAGGGAGACTGGGATGGCAGCAGAGGTGTGAGTTCTCACCACCTGGTTGGCTCAAGGTAGATGCCAGCAGGCTTATGCATTTGGGCATTTTGTCTGCAAGGCCACCTAATCCACGGGTCCCAAGCAGTTCGACTGAACCGACCCAGCACTCCTGGGTCACACAAACCCTGCTCAACTGTACAAGCCTACCACCGCCCCCCCACTACCAAGTCAAGTTCCGAGTCATCAGTCCAGTATTTGCGACACTCAGAAATCAACCTTCCACCTGCCTCCAGCCTCATCCTCACAGACCCACAGCCAAGCCCTGGATTCCAACTCTGCCAGAGCCCAGGGGCAGTATGTGTCGAGTCATGCAGGCCTAAGTTCAAATTCCAGCTTTGCCATTTGTCACTGTGTGAGCCTGGGAAGTTTCCTTTACCTCTCAGATTTTCCCAATCCTCAGGGGTTGCTATCAGCATCAAAGAGGGAACCTTCAGGAAAGCAACTTGTCTATACACGTTGAAACCTGTCTATACACCTTTAGTCTCGGAGCACCTGGCCCAGGGAAGATGCTCGTGAGTGTTTGCGGACTGACTAGGTACATTTCTGTTAGGGTAGAAGAGCAGAGCTGCTCTGTCTTCTTAATCAACAAACAGACTTTGGTCACCTCTTATGTGTCAGGTCTGGGTTTTTTTTTTGTTTTTTTTTTTTGTGACAGAGTCTCGTTCTGTTGCCAAGGCTGGAGACAGTGGCATAATCTCGGCTCATTGCAACCCCTGCCTCCCAGGTTCAAGTGATTCTCCTGCCTCAGTCTCCTGAGTAACTGAGACTATATATGCGCCACCATGCCTGACTAATTTTTACACTTTTAGTACAGACGGGGTTTTACCATGTTGGCCAGGCTGGTCTCCAACTCCTGACCTCAAGTGATCTGTCTGCCTTGGCCTCCCAAAGTGCCCAGATGACAGGTGTGAGCCACTGGCCAAGGCACTGTTAAAGACGTAAATGAAGGCCAGAAAAGGTCTTGGTCTTCATGGAACCAAGACATACACTGAAGGTTATGCATGTCCCTGAGGGCTCATGGCCCAGCCTGGGGGCAGGGATGGCTTTTTGGAGGAGGTGATGTCTATGGTGATACCTAAAGGCCAAATAGGACTAAAGCAGGTGACAGGGGAGTGAGGAAAGGAGAGTGTCCTAGACAGAGCACGGACAAAGGCCCAGGGGTAAGGGCCACAGCTTGTCCAAGGAACTGAAAAGAGTTCAGTGTGTCTGGATATGGGGGATGGACGAGATGAGGTCGGCAGGGGCCAGGTTTGCACAGGGCAGGGGAGCCGGTAGGATGAGTCACAGATGTTCTGCAGAGCCATGGAACGTTAAGCAGGGAAGGGACATGGTCAGATTGGTTCTCTGGCAAACCACCGGGTGGAGAAAGGACCACAGCAGAAGATCCTTCAGTGGCACTACCAAAAGACCTCCCGCCCAGCTGCCTGCACAGGCATGAGCGTTCCGGGTACCCCAGAGCCCCAGGCGCTGCAAGCAGCCTGCACACTCACCCGGACACCAGTGACACCAGGGGGGCCGGGGGGCCCGTCCTCACCCATCAGCCCTTCCTGGCCTTTCTCACCATGTTCTCCATCAGGCCCTGGGTCTCCCCTGTCCCCCTGGGTGGCAGGGCATGAGGAGGGGAGAGAGACAGAGAATAAGTTAGTTGCCAAGTGCATCAGAGGCCCCAAACTGCAGGGCTCCATTCAGACATCCACAGCCAACTGGCCCTTAGATTCCCGACAGGTCCCTCCGCTGCCAAACAGGCAGGGTGCTGTGACTCGGCTGCCGAGCTCAGTGTAGCCTGAAGCTTGCACAGGACGCATCCCAGACTTAGAGGTTCCCACGTGTCCCTGTCTGGGCCTGGGCTGGGAAGGGCAGAGTGACTCAGAGATAAGCCCAGGTCCTGACTGCACCCACCCCACGGAGTTCATAGGAGACAAGGGCAATTTGTCCCCAACTTAGACACATTGGGAGAACAAGAGTCTTATGAAGCAGATTTTTTTTTTTTTTTTAAACAGAGTCTCAGTCTCTCTCTCAGAGAGAGATTGTGCAGAGGTGCAATCATAGCTCACTGCAGCCTCTACCTCCTGGGCTCAAGCAATCCTCCTGCCTCAGCCTCCCAAGTAGCTGGGACTACAGGCACATGCCACCATGCCCAGCTAATTAAATTTTTTTTCTTTTGCAGAAATGAGCTCTTGCTACAAGAGAGCTTGAGCCCAGGAGTTGGAGATGGTTGCCCAGGTGGGTCTCCAACTGCTGGGCTCAAGCAATCCTCCCACCTCAGCTTCCCAAAGTGCTGGGATTACAGGTGGGAGCCACTGCGCCTAGCTGAAAGAAATTTTCATCAAGCAAGAAAATTTACCCAATTCTCCCTCTCAGAACCACTCTTTCCATTTTTCTGAGCTGCATTTTCAATCCTTGATGACACAAAAACAGTGAATAATAATAATAAATGGTAGGTAACAGTTTGGATGGTATGCACCTGACTCAGGGCAGTGAAGCAACTGTCCCAAGGCAATGCATTGGTTCCAGTAAACTAAGCTCTAAAGGCACAATCCCACTGGACTGCCGGTCTCCATCTTTGTTTATTATAGTTACTGCTTTGCTCTATGGTGAACGTGCCCTCCCGCTGCTCTGGGCTCTCCATGGCGATCATTCTTATGGGCTGCAGAATACTTTCTCTGGGGAATGGATGGAGCTAACATTTATATGGCACTAACCATGTCAGGACCACAGTCTGAGTCCTTCAACATTTATTAACTGACTTAATCCCCACAAAAGCTTTCCAAGGCTGGTCCGCTTTTAGTCCCATTTTACAGATGAGGAAACTGAGGTAGAGCTAAATCAAGTCATCTGGCCCAGAGGCCCACAACTGGCTAGCGGTGGAGCTGGACTTTGAAGCAGGATCCTGAGCGTGCCCTCTTTACAGCGACAGGGCTGTAACCAAGGTCTTCTTGGGGCTTCGGGCCTTTGGGGCACCCGGGGTTATTTCCTTGGAAAGGCAACACTTGGCATGGGTTTTTTTTTTTTTTTTTTTTTTAGATCGATCTCATTCTGTCACCCAGGCTGGAGTGCAGTGGCCTCCACCTCCCAGGTTCAAGCGATTCTCCTGCCCCTGCCTCCTGACTAGCTGGGACTACAGGCACATGCCACCACGCCTGGCTAATTTTTGTATTTTTAGTAGAGACAGGGTTTCACCATGTTGGCTAGGCTGGTCTCGAACTCCCGACCTCAGCTGATCCACCTACTTCCGCCTTCCAAAGTGCTGGGATTACAGGTGTGAGCCACTGCACCAGGCCGGCATGGGTTTTTTATGGTTTTGAAGCAATCAGTGTCACTCTAAGCTTGCCTTATCTCATCACGGTAATCTTTGCGTACTCCGAGAGATTTGGGGGCAGGTGCGGTTCCAGGATGGGGCATGCAGGATTCTAGGATGGGGCATGGGCCGTCACCCTCATCAACCTTGAGCAGAGGAGGTGTGGAGTGCAGCATGGGCATGGCTGCCAAGAGGCGGCGTCCATCAGAAGGTGGTCTCCATCGGGGCTGGCAGGCCTGGGGCCTGTGGTCAGTCTGCACTGGCTTAGCTGTTACTTGTTCAGGGAGACCCATGGGAGAGGACATGAAGTCACAGGTACGAGGAAGGATGGGCGAGAAGAGCAGGCTTGGAAAAGCATAGTGAGTCTTTACCAGTTCTGTCCCCCAGTGCCAAGCTTTACGAGGGACACTGATAAACTGGTGTGCATCCAGAGGAGAGACAGCACAGGAAGCAGAGGGCATGACGCTGGAGCCTGGGGTTGGGCCCTGCCCAGAAGAGAGGCTCGAGAGCGAGACTCATGATTGCTCATTGCTGCAAGCTGGGCCTGCTGGGGCCCGGGCTCTGGGGCAGAAGGCGGGTGTGAGGGAGTTGCTGGGGCAGTTTCTAGCTCAGTTGGGCAGATTTTGCAACGGTGCGGTTCAGAGATGGCACAGATAAAGGCAGGAGACTCCGAGCTGAGGCGTGGGCCAGTGCAGAGCAGATCTGGGCACAGAGTTGTACCTAGATCCCTTCCCGCTGACAGCCTCAGCTTCTAAGCACAGCCTGGCATGAAGACAGGGGGCTGGCCCGGATAACTCTCCTGCAGACTCCCCTGGCTCTGGGATTCCATTTCTGGCTTGTCGTCCTGGCCACCTGTTCTCCTAACTCTCAGAGGCAGACAGCCTGTTCCAGGAGGCTGGTTGGGTTTTCAGCAAAGGGCCCTCACCTGGGCTCTGCCTAAGACCACCCTCCAGGGGTTAACTGGACCCCTGGGGTGGACGTCCTTGTGAATCGCATGCAGAACAGGCTCTGGGGGTTCCTGTAGATGCCCCAAATCCTCAGATATCTGTCAGTGCTCAGAAGAGCCTTGCAAGTGACCTTCCTTAACCCTCTCCAGTTACAGATGGGAAAACTGAGGTGCAGAGAGGTGGAGACTCCCTGATACCACTGGGTAAGTCAGTGCTGTGTGAACCTGGGGTTCTGGCTCCTTCTAATTCCAAGATTTTCTGCTCAGGGGACGATGCCTCCCTCATCCCTGGGGTTATGCTGCCTAAGTTCAAATCTTGCTACTGCTACTGAATAGTGGTATGACCCTGGGCAAGTTTCCTCATTTGTAATATCAGGATCAAAGGATTACTGCAAGGATTGAAAGAGATAAACCACGTAAATAGCTTAGCAGCGTGTCTGGCACGTGAATGCTGGATCAAAGCTAATTATTATTGGTCACCGCTACCATCACCACCGTCAGCTGGACATCGGCAAAGAGCTAACGGGTGTAAAAGCACTCTATAAACTATAAAGTGCTGTGCGTATTCAACACGCAGTTTTCACCACGAGGGGTGATTCCTGGACAAACACCTTAAGAAAATGGGTCTCTCCTGGGATTCATGTAAAGATCGGGGAAGACGCTGTGCATTTGAGCACAAGGACTCAGGTAGAATTGGCTTTGAAGGGAGGGAAAGAGGACGAAGCCAGGGCCAAAAAGCCACGCAAAGTGGAGGCAGAAGACTGCACGAGGCACCGAGGTTGGAAGACCCCCTCCCGCCCACCTCGGTGGACATTCCAAGAAGAAAGGTGGCCGCCCAGAGTGGAGTGAGGAGGCTGTTGCTTCGTGCCTCGGTTTCCTCATCCGTCCAGTGGGGATGGTACTGTATCAAGCTTGGGAGAGTTGCTGGGAAGATTAATTATCAAATGGGTTAATTCACATAACGCCCTTCAGGTCAGTGGCACTGGGCACGTGGCAAGCGCCCAAAGCATTTTAGCCATGACCTTCACCAGCATCACCACGCAGTGTAGCAGGCGCTGGCAAAGGGTGTGGAGGGGCTGTCAAATGCTCCGGGTCTTAGGACTCAGCTGTACCCTAGGATGCAGCAGGGCTGGGGGTGAGGAGGCAGGCGGATGACAGACAGGGGGCGCTCTCGCTCTTGCAAGAAAACGTGAGGAGTCAGCAGGGGCTGGTCACCAAGGCACCCTGGGAGACTGTGGGGAGGGCGTAATGAGGGTGGGCGGAGGCCTGTGGATGGGGAAACTGAGGTTCAGAGAAGGGGTCTGCTTCTCCAAGGTCACCTGGAGAGTAGGTGGGTGAGAGGGGATACCCCAACATGGCCCTCAGGACCCTGGGCTGGGGAGCTGACTTGCGCAGGGTGACCGGCCAGCCTCGGGAAAAGCCCATGTGTGGGGTCAGAGCGGGACCCGAGACGGAGGCCAGGGACTGGCCTGGCTGGAGATGGGTGTGGAGAGTCAGAGGGCGGTGCCCACCTGCCCACCTGCAGTTCAGGTGAGCCAAGGTGCCGCTTCAGAGTCCAGACACTTGTGGCTGACAGGAGGCTCACAGGGAGACGCAGGGTCGAGGTGGGCCAGCAGGCTTTGGCACCTGTGAGCTGTGGGTTTGAATTTTGGATCCTCACTCACAGCCATAGGTCCTGAATATATCTCTGCCTTCCTCTGAGCCTCAGCCTTTTCGCCTTTAGAATGGGTGCATGGTACAGCAGAGCGAGCAGATTTGGGTCAAACAGGCCCAGATTTGGGTCCTGGATGTGCCAGTTGCTAGTGGTGTGTCCTTGGGCAAGTTGCTTCACCGCTCTGAGTCTCAGTTTCCTCATCTAAAGACAGAACTCCCATTGCCTTATGGATCCAGCTGGTACAGGGCTTGGTGTTGTACCTGGTATGCGTGTGACTAATCCTCCCTAAATTGTGACTCGTAAGTCATTAGTGGTAATTACTATTTTCCTGACCTTCTAGGTTATTTGGAACATCACAAAGACCAAAGACCCTGGCTCTGGGCCTGGCGTAGTGCTGGTGCTCAGGAATCACCCTTAGCCAAGAGAAGCTGATATTTTAAGAAGGGTAGCAGGAAAGACTGCAAGGTGGTGATGGTCCTGGTCCCACCTGAGCAGGTAGTGCAGAGGGCAGGGTGGGAGGTGGCCGCTGGACACTGCTGACCCTTCCCCACCCTGCTGGTCAATGGGAGCTGGAGGTCTCATCGCAGATCTCCACGGGAACACAGTGCTTCTGGGAGGAGACTTAGGTCTTGGATGGGAAAGCAATGCCCTGCCAGGGTCCCCAGGCCCTGCCCTAAAAGGGCACTTACCTTCAGCCCATCAGGTCCCATGGGGCCACTGTCACCCTCGAGGCCTGGCTCTCCCTGGAAAGGGTGAGGAGAAAGGGGAGGAGATGTTACTGGGGAGGAGACCCCGGTGTGCTTTTCCTTTCTTCCCCCTCCCTGGGGCAGTGCCCTGACCCACGGATCTCCAGGCAGTGGGACCCTGGGGGCCCTGGCACACAGGGGCTGAGTTAGCAAATGAACAGGAAGGTTGAGGTGACCACCCTCGGCTCTCCAGAAAGGGGAAACAGACCCCCAAGCTACCGACAGCTCCCTCTGCAGGGTGGTGTGGGGTGGGGGCTACATGAGGTCACGAATTTAGAAGGTGCCTGTCATGGATTTGTCCTGGACCTCATCTCTAGGCTGGTTGGCTGGGCTGCGGAGTGGCCTCGTAGTTAAAGACAGGCTTTGACATCAGCCAGACATCAATGCTACTTCTCGGTTTCCCATTCACTAGCTGTTTGACCACAAGCAAACTACTTAGCTCTCATGGGCGTCTGTTTTTTCATCTGAAAAATGCGGCTGACACCACCTTCTTCAAGGGTTGCTGTAAGGCGCGGTGTGAGCGCCCCACACCTGGCAGCCCTGTGAGATACTATGACTGGAGCTGAAGCAAGCCTTCCTGGAGCTCCTTGGTGGAATCCCACTTCTCAGACGAGGAAAGGGAGGCCTGTCTTTCAACTCTTCTTCCCAGCAAGCTCGGGAATGACAGCAAGAACACTGAGTCCCTGGCTGACCCTCAACCAGGCTGGCCCTTCCAGCTCCAGAGACGCCCCTGGACAACAGTTCTTGAAATGGCCATCAAATTAAGTTTGGGTGTCTCTCTGCTTTTAGAATTCATCGCTGTTCAGAGTCTGAGCTGGAAAGGGCCTCAGGAGTTGTCAGATGCAGGATGGCAACCATGTGCCAGCTGGGTGGTCTGTGATCCTCTTGTACCCATGGCAGGTATCACTTATCAACCCGCTGGAATGCAAGCTCCAGAGACAGGTCTCCGTTACTCACTGCTGTACTCCTTGTGCCTCAAGAAAAGTGCCTGATACACAGTGGGTATAGGATGCATGCTCATCATTCTCTTTCCTACCGAGCCTCGAAAACCTCAGGATCCTTCTTTCTCTTTTTTTCTTTTTCTTTTTTTTTTTTTTTTGAGATGGAGTCTTCCTCTGTCACCCAGGCAGGAGTGCAGTGGTGCCATCTTGGCTCACTGCAACCTCTAACTCCCAGGTTCAAGCGATTCTCCTGCCTCAGCCTCCCGAGCTGGGACTATAGGCCACAAAATGCATTTTGACCATGAAATGCTGGCCTACCAAGACAGACTGGGCGAGGCTATAGAGGTTCATGGTCTATTTCTGTAACTGAGGAAACTGAGGCTTAGGGAGATTGAGAAAAGCCCGTCTCTTCCCCTGCTGTGCCCACACACCCTGGGGGCTTTCAGGAAGAATAAATCGCTTCAACTTACCCGTTGCCCAATGAGGCCCTGCTCCCCAGGGGTGCCCAGGGGTCCAAGGTCACCCTAGGAGAAGCCGAACAAAAGTTCATGGGGGTGGGTAGGGCCAGCCCCAGCCCTCGCCACCCCTTCCTGTTTCCACCTGCTCTGACTTGGGGTGTGGGAGGAGGAGATGGGGAAGGTCCTTCTTCCCAGGGACCACAGAGAAATCGTAAAGCACCAACCAGAGCCCCTGTTTCAAGTAACCTTGTCCAGGGGCTTCTTCTCCCATGCCAGGACAGGAGGATCATTACCACCAACACCACCACCATCATCCTATTAATAACTAACTGTACTGTTCTGTACTGTTCTAAGGACTTTTTTTTGAAACAAGGGTCTCGTTCTGTCACCCAGGCTGGAGTGCAGTGAGGTAATAATCACAGCTCACTGCAGCCTTGATCTCCCAGGCTCAAGTGATCCTCCCACCTTAGCCTCTCTCAAGTAGCTGGGACCACAAGCATGCGCCACCACGCCCGGCAGATTTTTAAATTTTTTGTTGAGATGGGGTCTCGCTACATTGCCCAGGCTGAGGATGTCAGTTTTTATATTAACATATTTGACTTTCAAGACAATCCTGCAAGGAAAAGTTTTCTTTTAGAGGTGAAGCATCAGAGGCATTGGGGGAGTTCAGTAAGGAGCCCAAGCTCTCACAAGACTAGTCAGTGACAGATTCAGGATCTGAAGCGGGGCAGTCTGGCTCCAGGAGGCTTGGATGCAGCAATGGCAACTATGTGATTTTACTCTTCCTTGAGACTTGCAGAGAAACCCAAACGAGGAGGAAGCCCTAAATGAGCAGGAATAAAAGTCACCTGCCCCCTGCATAAAGGCCCTAAAAGGGTCTTTCTTATTGGAGAATTTTCAAGCTATATTCCCTGCTGGTGTCTAGGGACACAGAAGGAGGGCAGAGCTCTGAGCCTCCAGCCCTGCTCCGGTGGAAACGATTCCACTTCTATCAGTTTTCCATGTGGGGTGGTTTTCTTCACTGGAGTCTGAGCAAAGGATTTTGGGACTAAGCCAAGTCTGACAGCCCCAGGCCTGGTCCAACCCCCTCTTTGAATGACAGGGAGACTTAGGCACAGAAGCGGGTGACTGGACTCAAGTCTTACAGCCCCTCTGCGGGCTCCCCTGGGTCCTGCCTCAACAATGTCCATGGGCTAGCCAGCATCGCTCCTCAGCTCTGGGGCCTCCGAGGGGAACAGCGTCCTCTTCGAACAGCAGCAGAATGGGGAGGGGGTTCTCCCAGAGCCCAGGTATCAATAGGCACCTGTTTCTTAGCAGGTAATGAGAGGCACTGGCACTGAGATGCAGATGGTATCGCACGAGGCCAGGAGGTACAGCCACCCCAGCATGGAGGCAGGGGTAGGTGCCTGAAAAAACACTGGCTGGCAGGGGACACTGGTGGGGGCTCCACACTCCACTCTGGCCCTGACCAGGCCCCACTCCCCAGCCAGGAGCACAGAGAACCCATTATCCCAGTCACAAGAAAGGCCCATTTCTCTTCCATGGAGAGGATGTGGCCGCCAGCTGGGAGCTGGTTTCAACAAGTCATTTTTCTCTTCTTTCATCCCACCTCACCTTCATCCCGGCTTCCCCAGGAAGGCCCGGTTCTCCCGCCGCACCCGGCGGCCCCTGCAAGAAAATGCCATTGGTCCTTCCTAGAGCAAGAGTTGCCCCTTGGTTGTAAGCAAGGGGGTAACTGAGGCTCAGAAAGGGCAAGAGACACACCCAGGGTCACACAGCACAAGAGATGCAGAGGTGGGAGCAGCCTGTAGCTTCTTGGAGCCTGGAGCTGAAACTAGGGGGCTGGGGGTGGACCCAGGCTGGCTGAGCTTTGGGACTACCCAGAGGCTTCTAGAGCCTTCTCCCAACCCACGAGTGTGGTTTACCACACTAGGAGGCCCTTGGCAAGCAGAGGGAAGAAAATGATTCACATAAAGACGGGGGAGGAAACCATTGGATGCTGTGTTTAGGGCCAAGTGATTCTAACCCTTCTCTCTACAGCTGAGCCAGCATGAGGCGGGTGGGAAGCAGCCCTGAGTTATCACCATGGGCATGGCTGCAGCCCTTGCATAAACCCTGGGGTTTGGTTTTTTCCCTCCGGATAAGGCAGGGGTGTCTGAGGCTCCTTCCAAGTTCCTTGCTACATGACCCTTGGGGGCTGGATCGACAGTCAAACCTCTGCTGGGGCAAAGTCCCAGGAAGGTCAAGGTTGGAAAGCATCCATGTTTCCAGTGATGCCCAAAGAGGCAATGCCAGCCCCCACAAGGGTTCTGGTACCTCTGCATCCCATACAATGCCCCTGGACTAGGAGCCCAGCTCCTCAACCTATGCCACCAGGATGGATCTACCTGGTGGTAGATCCTACCAGGATGGACGCCTCTCTGCCAGGGCGTCCACCCTTCTCTGAACTACATGGTACATGATCATCTCCCTGGGCCAGGACAGGGAATGGCAGAAAGAGGCTCCTGGGGAGGAGGGAAGGGAAGGGCTGATACATCCCCAGCAGCATCATGGGACGAATAAGGGTCTCTCACACTCACCTTGGGTCCCATCTCTCCTGGAGGCCCAACTGGCCCCTGGGGTCCCTGAGGGCCCTGGAAGACAGACAGACACACAGACAGTTGGGAGAAGCCAGCCTGGGCCCTCTTTGGGATCTGGAGAGGTGAGTGAGGGAGCTGACCCCCAGAACTGGGGACTCTGAAGCACACCCCTAGTCCGCCCCAGCCACACCGAAGGTCCTGGTGTCTGCAGCCCCCTCTTCACCACTGGTATGTGTCATACTCCCTCCAACACAGCTGCACACTCTCCTATTCACCCACCTAAAGCCCAGGGGCCGTCCCTGATCAGAAACCTCCTAGCTCTCAGTCCTGCTCATCCGTTGACCCTGCCTGGAATGTCCTTCCACCTTGGATCCATGTCTGGAAACCCCCACCCCCAGCCAACACACCGTTCAAAAGGGTGATTCCTTGGGCCTCAGGATGTGGGAAGGCAGCAGTGGCCTCGAGGATGGGAGCCTCCTGTCCTCCCCTGCCCTGTGCAGGAGTCATCCTCCTAGTGCCCTGGAGATTCTGTCCCCTCCCTGCCATCTCCTGTAGCACCACTCTCTAGCCTCCTCATGGGGCTCCCGGACTGTCCCCCTACACCTGTCCTTCCAGGGACATCTTCTGGAAAGCAAGTTGATCAGCCTTTCTGCCTCAAGCCCTTCCATGGCTCCCTGTTGCCCTTGGGGCAAAAAGCATACTCTCCCCGTGGCCTTGGGCGCCTGGCGCCTGCTGCCTCCTCCTGCCCTTTCCGAGGTCCCACTTTCCACTCCAGCCATGCTGGACTCTGTGGTTCCCAGTCAGCTTGTTGGTTTACTCTTATCTTCCCTCCCACCCTCCGTCCTTCTGCCTTCCACTGTGCCAATCACTCCCTATACATTTTCGCATTTCATCTTCACAACAGAATGGCAAGGCAGAGACAATCACCCCCATTTTCCTGGCAAGAAAACAGGCTGGAGGCCAAGTGAGCTGAGCCTCAAACCCAGAACTCCTGGCTTAGCGCTCGCCACCAACCCCAAGGCCTGGCCCACCGGGGGCTTAGAGGCCAGGCATGGTCCCTTTACAACTCTTCCCCTTATCTGAGCACCTGGCCCACATCCCCAGGTGCCAGCGGCAAAGAGGCGGAAGAGGGAAGGAAAGGTTCTTACCGGTTCTCCTGGGAGGCCCTTGGTGCCTGGGGGGCCTGAGGGACCCGGGATGCCCTGCAGAGACAAGGCAAAGGTGACCTTAGGCCCTCCATGGCCTTCCCTGCCCTGCCTTGACTTCAAGCAAGCCATCCTAGTGTATTTGGGTCCTGTCCTCCCCCACCGGGTGACAGACGGGAAGGCTGAGACCCAGAGAAGAGGGGATGTGCTGGAGGGGCTTCAGTGCAGGGCGAGTGGGCAACCAGAATCTTCAGGGTTTCCACAGAAGGATAGGAACTTGGTAAAAGTGGTTATTATCCGCACCCCCGCCCCCACCCCACCGAAAGCCCCATGTAGAGAATTTCAAGAACTGGTGCTACTTACGGGAAAGCCTCGCGAGCCCAAGTGGCCTCGCTCACCAGCCACACCCTGGAAGCACATGTGGGGGTCATTACAGGCTCAGATCACAAAGCAGGGAGCAGGGAGGGGGCCTGCGGCTGGCCTGCTTGGCCTTGGCCTTGGCCTGACATACCTGCTGTCCAGGCCGGCCCGGTCTGCCTTGGGGTCCTGGAGGGCCCTGTAGGAAGCAGAGCACGTGAAGGTGGGAGAGGGTGCTTGGGAGGACCGTTCCCCAAAAAGGGAGCCCTCCACATGGGAGATAAAAGGAACCCGTTTGAGGCCACGGAGTCTGGCCCCCTCTCTACGGCGCAGATGGGAAAACTAAGGCCTGACAAAGGAGAGTGGCTCGCCACCGCCACCAGCTGCTCCAGGTGGAGAACCAACGACCCCTTCCTAGGGATGGGGCTGCCAGAAGCAGTCTCGACTGTCAGGGGCCTGGTGGGGTTTGGGGTCTGGGGAAGGGGTCCGAGGACATGTTATGATCTCCCTCCTCCTTTTCTGGCTTTCTCTTCACTGGGCTTGCAGTGGGGGGTCAGGAGGAGTGGAAGGGCTGACCTCTCAGAAAGGGCCCTGCAGCCTCCATGGGGCTCCCTTCATTGTCCCTAAGGGGCGTTGTTCTGAGGAGATGTGAGCCTTGTTCGTGATTCCTGCCCCAGTGTTGGAGGAGTGAGGAAGGGCAGGCCCTGGGGGTCGGTACCTTCAGGCCCCTGGACCCTTGCTCCCCAGCTGGCCCGTCCGGTCCTCGGGGGCCCTGGAATAGGAAAAAGGGACTAGCACACCGGACAGCAGGGGTCTCCCTCGGGCCGAGAACCAGGAGGGCGGGGCTGCTCTGAGCCTGGGGCCATCTCCTGCACAAGCCCCGGCCCCCTCCTCCTCCCACTTCCCACACACTCCCCACTGAGGTGGTCACCCTCGTGCGGCACCTTCGAAACAGCTCTGCAGAGGCCGCAGCATGAGTAGACTCAGCTAGAGGCTGACGTTTCCAAAAGGGGGCTGGGGCACTAATAGCCCTGTTCAGAGAGACCTTGGGGGTCACCCAGCCCATCCATTTCACAGACATGGAGACTGAGGGCCGCAATTGAGTTACACGTGGCCCACGTCCACACAGCCACCTCTTCAGACTCTGCTGCCACGTGCCCTTCCCAGAGCACACACGGGGCAGAAACAGGTATGTGAGTCACAGCCCTTGGGGGAAACTGACAGAGCAGGACCTGGGAAGAACCTGCATGTCCTTCCCAGATGCGTGGAGCAGCCCTGTCTCTGGCCATATGTACAACGAATGCAGCCCCGTTCACAGAGGAAGACCTGCCATGAGGCAGGGGCAGGCACAGGGCAAGACTGTGCACGAAGGGGTGGGAGTCAGGCTGCGGCTCCCCGGAGCCCTGGGCTCAGGCCTGAACTCTGACACAGGAGTCTTGGTCCCTGATTGCTGGGAGACCCCAGGGGCAGGTGGAGTCCACCCCCTACCCCACTGCACGGATGGGAATACTGAGGCCCAGCCAAGGGAAGTGACTTAGTTAAGGTCCCTAACACATTAGCTGCTCTCATCCCCCATGTGGGCTCCACCCACTGCCCCATGTGTGTCCCTCCAGGGGCGCTCCCACAGAGACGCAGATGGGCTGGGGTCTCCTGGAAAAGACCCGTGGAAAACAGAGCGGGCTGTGTTCTCTAGGGGGTCTCAAGCGGTCTGTGTTGGGAGGACAGGAGTGTCCTGTGGAGGAGGCCGGCCCATCCTGGCCCAGGAGCCCAGGGGACCAGACCGCAATAATCCCCCAGATAAAAGGAACTGGAGAAGTGTCTAGGTGGGGGAGGATGGGGAATGAGAAAACTAAATGAAGAAAAATCATTTCAAAATAGAACAAGGAAGGCCAGATACAGTGGCTCACGCCTGTAATCCTAGCACTTTGGGAGGCCGAGGCGGGCGGATCATGAGGTCAGGAGTTCGAGACCAGCCTGACCAACATGGTGAAACCCCATCTCTACTAAAAATACAAAAATTAGCTGGGTGTGGTGGTGTGTGCCTGTAGTCCCAGCTACTTGGGAGGCTGAGGTAGGAGAATCGCTTGAACCCAGGAGGCGGAGGTTGCAGAGAGCCGAGATCGTGCCACTGCATTCCAGCCTGGGCAACAGAGTGAGACTCCATCTCAAAAAAAAAAAAAAAAAAAAAAAAAAAAAAAAAAAAAATTCAATGAATAATTGGACCAACAAAGTGAAAATTCCACTTCTCAGCTTCCCGGAGCTCCCTATGCTTCAATCCCACACTGCAGCCTTAAAGAGCACCCCACTGATCAAATAATCCTGGAACAGGGAGCCACTGGGCAAGGCCAGGGCTCAGCTAGGAGATGCTGTTCTCAGCATCCCCAAGCCCAGGGCCTGGGGCCCATTGTGGGGTCCAGCCCTAAGCATTGGGCTGCTCAGAAAATGTGTCTGGGGACAAGTGACTGCTCCTCCCTGAGACTCAGTTTCTTTTTTCTGAAATGGGCACAAGAAATCTCTCCCTCAAGACAGGAGGCGATGCCCACAGGCAGCTCAGTGCCTGGCATGCAGAAAGTGCTTAAGAATGGCTAGTGCCATCCCTGCCAGGCTCTGCCAGAGGAGGCGGCAGGCTCCCCAGAGGCAGGGACATAGGAGTGGCTTGGGGAATCTGGGCTCAGTCCCTTCCTCAGGCAGTTCACGCTATGCTGTGCAAAACCAGTTGAGAGTTTTCACAGATTCAAGCTGAGGTTTGATGAACTCCTAAACAAGCCATCTCTAGTGGCCATTACCGGGCTCAGGTGCTAGCCCTAGCCTGTTGCTGGTTTGCTGTGTGACCCAGAAAAGCCCCACCTCCTCTCCAGGCCTCAGTCTCAGGCTCACATGGACACTGTCACACCATGTTATGAGACTTAACACCTGTGATCCATGGGCACAGGCCTGGCGGAGCTGGAGCCACATGGGGTGGGGCCGTGTCAGGTCATGGGAGCCGGGACAGGGGCTGAGCTGATGGCAGATAACTGAGCCCTCCTGAGGGATGATCTCTGACTCTGGGCTCTGTCTCTCACTGAGACATACACCTCCCTGGAAAGGGATAGCTCTGGGAGGGGAGTGGAGGCTCAGAGGTGTTGAGGGCTTGGCCTGAATCCCATAGCACCCTATTTACCCCAGGAATCAAAGGCTTTCAGGGAGAAAGGTTAAGTCATTAAAAAATAATAGAGCAGAGCAGCCCCCGCAGGAGCAGTGAAAGCTGTTATCCTCCTTTTACAAGGAAAGAAACAGGCTCAGGATGGTGGTGAACTTGCCTATGGTCACACAGCTAGGAAGTGAGGGGCCAGAATTTGAGACCAAGTCAGCAGGACATCCATTTTTTTCACCACTACCTGTCACTGTTTTTCAGAAAGGGAGTGAGCTCCCCGTCACCGGGAGTATACAAGTCAGGGCCCAGAGGAGCCTGCCAGGAAGGCTGCACACTGGGGCGTGGTGTTGGAGAAGACAGTGTCTAAAATCCCTCTTATCTGAGAGAACTCACTATCCCAGCAGAGCACCAGGGAGCCCGGGAGAAGCTGGCCTGGCTTAAGAAAGAGGAGGAAGCAGTAGTGGGGCCACCAGTCGCCCTGTCTCCCCAACTCCACAGGGCAGGGAGAGGGACGAGAGCAGCCATACACTCTAACCCTTGCTCTGGGCCACTCAACAGTTCATCCTGCAGGTCCCCCAGTCCTGCCGCCTACTTCCCTAAATGAACCCGGGCAGGCCCACTCTCGCCCCGCCTGCTGGAGAGAAGCCTGGGTTTCTATCACAGCCATGTGTCTGCTCTCCTGTATCTGCTCCTGAGGAAGATGTCCGTAGGCAGTTTGGGGGCTGCCCTCCAGCCAGGCCTGGGGTCAGGCTTGGTGGGGAGGAGCTCCTGCCTGGGGCAGAAAATCTGGCCAACCACAGCTCTTGTGAAAAAGGGGCCAATGAACAAGCGGGAAGGAGCACACACCATCACGTGCTGCTGCCCTGCAACAGGTACAAGGTGCTCAGGAAGTGACTGAATCCCCGAAGCCAGCCCGCCAGCTTCGTTCTGTTGCTCACCCATTTTACGGAGGGAGAAGCGAAGGCTCACGGAGGGGAAATCAGTGGCCCAAGGTCCAAGATCCAAGAGGAAGAGCCTGGATTCAGGCAACGTCAGCTAAGCTCTAACACCCACAGGCAGGAAAAGAGTTGGCCCGAGGCACTGCAATCTTGGGGTCCTTATGAACCCCTCAGAAGGAGGAATTAAAGTCTCTCACCTGAGCAGGTGGGAGAAAGGCTCTGAGAGGTTAAGAAACCGGCCTGGGGTTCCACAGCTGGGAACCGGGGGTGCTGAGACTTGCCGTAGGCCCATCTGACCCCAGAGTCCTCATTCTTTTCACTGGGGCTGGTGGACCCAGGTTCTAGTCAGCATCCTCACCAACAACAGAGGACGAGAGCCTCCCTTGCCTCTGGCCATGAACCCTCAGTGCTCATTCTTCCTCCGGTGGGCGGTGGGGGAGGGGGGCGCAGGAAAGCAGGCAAGGCCTTGCAGACCTCCAGGCCCATCCCCCTTGGCACATATGGGGAAACTGAGGCACAGAGCGCCACAAGGCCTTGCTAAGGGCACAGGGCAAACCAGGAGCTGATCAGGACTTGCCCAGAGTCAAGCTCTTTCACAGGCACGGTAGGTGCCTCTGTAGGTTCCCCACCCTCAGTCACCCCATCTAGGAGGTGGCGAAGGGCAGCCTGTTCGGCAGGAGACCCAGGGGGCCTATCTCATAGGTTGTGCATTCCTGACAAACCCAGTGGGGAGAGGGACTCATGTTCCTGATGCTCCCCTCCCAGCTGGGAGACTTTGACATGGTTGGAAGCCTGGATTTCGGAGCCCAGTGAGTTGAGGGGATCTGAGCCTCGCACCTGTGGCAGGGCAGGGGGCTTGGGCCCATGCAGCTCACCCTCTAGGGAATCCAGCTTCCTGGGGCAGGAGGGGAGGTACAGAGGATCTGGATGGAGCCCGGCTGCCCTTGGGCCAGGGCCTGTTTGAAGAGACCCAGAGGACATGGGCACCGGAGGGACCCTGCCGGGCCAGAGGAATGCCTTTTAATCTTCCCTCTTCCAGGCCGGCTGCTCAGGCCATCTGGTTTGGGGGAAATTGTAAAACCACTTGAAATCCAGCCAAGAGGAGAACAATAATCACAGATCACCCATATGGAGCTTGGATATCAGGCCTGGGCTGCCGGCACTACCTGCATCATCTCACTTTCTCTTTACAGTAAGGCTGCATGGCCCCACGCCTGTATACCTATTGGTGGCAGACCATCCTGTCCACCCTCCCTGTGTGATTAAAAATAAGGCTGAATTCAGTATGCAAATGAGCCAGATTCCCTGGGTTCAAATCCCAGCTCTGCTACTTTCTAGCTGTGCAACTTGAGGTAAGTGACTCAACCTCTCTGTGCCTCTGTGGGAGTGGAGTGGAGGCTTGGAGGTGTTCAGAGCTTGGGCTGAATCACATAGCACCTAGTTTATCCCAGGAATCAAAGGCTTTCTGGGAGAAAGGTTAAGTAACCCAATAATAAAATCATAATAAATAAAGTAAGAATACAATGGGAACGAGAATAGCACCTACCTGATAGGGTAGGGTTGAGGATTAAATGAGTTAATGTGTGTGACAGACAGTGTCTGGCATAGAGTAAGTGCTGGCGATTACTCCGAGTGACGGTGCTCAGGACAGCCCTGTTTAAAACCCCCTGCAGCCTCCCACTGCCCTTGGAATATAGCTGTGGCTTTTGAGGCCCTGCCTCGCTTGGTGCCTGCTAAGTCCCGGCCCCATCCCCCTCCCTCGTCCCTCTGTTGACCCTGAGGATCCCTAAACATCCACCTCCTGTATCACCTTTGGGCTTTCCCCTGCCAGTTCCCTGCTGGGAAGCTGGCATCAGCTCAAGCACTGCCCTCTCCTAAAGTCCTTCCTTAGTACCCTGCCCAGGTAGGGTCCTCCTCTGGGCTTCCAGGCTGCTGGTACTTCCTCGGTCCATGTGCTGATGACCTGTATTTTATCACCTGCGTCTGCCAAGTGGTTTGATTCACTTGTTGACTGACTCACAAGGGCAGGCAGGAGTCATGTCTGTCCTGTTCACCACAATACCTGCAGAGCCTCCAAGTGTCCGCCACAGTAGGCGGACACACAGTAGGCACTAAATAAATGCTGGTTGAATACATGAATGAACAAAGAGCTGGTACCAGAGAGCCCGACTGTGCCTGGTGGATAGCAAGGCTCAGACATGAGTTGGAAAGAGGGGTGGGGTCCCACCCGCAGAGCCAGGTCCAGGGTGAGCCTGGAACCTTGCCTCGTGCTGCAAAGGTCACAGATCCCAGAGCTGGGCTGGGGGCAGAGACCAGGCAGTCTCTGGCAGGTGGCCCTGTTCCAAGTGTGCCCTCTCCCACCAGCATCAGCCCCCAAGAGCTGGGCTTGACTTACCCGACGTCCCTTTGCTCCCCTCATGCCTGGTGGGCCTCGAGATCCTGGAGGACCCTGGGAAGAGGAGAAGGAGTTTGGAGAAGCCCCTTTTTAGGAAGTGAGAGCAACATGGTGGGGCTGGGAGTGTGGGGCAAAGCTTGAAGGCCTGCAGCCCTCAGACAGGCATGTTCAGAAACTGCCAGGGCCCCAGCAGCCTCCACATGGCAGGACTGAGCACGTGGCTCATTGGGGAAAGCAGCAGGCGAGCCACAGCCTCAGACACAGCCAATGCCCTGGGCTATAGGGGGATGGGCCTCAACCTTTCCTAGGAGTCTGGGGAGTGGGGAGAAGGCTCCCTGCATAATATTTTCTTCTCCTTTTCCTCAAAATCAATAATGAGAAGATACGATGCCATTCATTCATTCATTCATTTATGTATTTATTGAGAGAGGATCTCGCTCTGTGGCCTGGGCTGGAGTGCAGTGCACCCTTGAGCTCCGGGGCTGGAGTGATCCCCCCGCCTCAGCCTCCTGAGGAGCTAGGACTGCAGGCATGCACCACCATGCCCAGCTAATTTTCTCATTTTCGTGGAGACAGGGTCTCACTATGTTGCCCAGCCTGATCTCAAACTCCTAGACTCAAGTGATCCTCCTGCCTCAGCCTCCCAAAGTGCTGGGATTACAGGTGTGAGCCACTGCATCATCTACAATGACATGTATGACAAAAGGTCTCCTCAAATCCTCGTCTACCTTTCTCTTCCCCATCACAAAGGCGAATCTGGTGACCCAAGTTCTGTCCCTCGCCTCCACCCTGACACCCAATATTTTCCTGAATATTTTCCCCCAGGGAAAAGAGGAGGAGGAGGAAGAACTGAGAACACAGGCCTGGGGTGAGCTTGGCAGGCAGAGGGGGCCGAGTGGGAGAGGATCAAGAAGGAGAGAAGGAGGGGGAGAGGCAGAGACAGAGAAGTGGGTGGGGTGGCATGAGAGGGGAGCAAGGCCCAGCCACAGGCACATGCGCAGCCATCTCAGTTTTGATGAACAGACAAGAGGAGCAAGAGAAGCAGGTTGAGAAGGCGAGGAACCAGGGCCAGTTTAGTTCTTGGAATTCTCAGCACCTGGCCTGGCACAGGTGCACGACAGGCACTCAGGAATCTGTTGAATGATCAAGGAGCACACGAACTGAAGAGGGCAGAGGGCAAGAAGGGAGGGAACGCAGGAGAAGATGGGAAGCAAGCCACACCTTGCCTAATGTCTCCCCCGCCCCCACCCCAATTCCAGGCCCAGCTTAAGAGACCTCAAGCGGCAACTTCATCCAGCGGCCAGCCAGGACCCTCTGCCAGCTCCAGGAGCCTCCCAGCTCCTGCAGCGATTCTCGGACTGGGTGTGCTCCTTTTGCAAGGCAGAGCCAGCCTCGTCCCTCCTCTGAATACCAGGGAGAGGCCCAGCCCCATTTAGGGCCTCAGAATGAACTCTTGATGTTCCCATTTCCCTCTCCCCATGGCTTCCAGGGGTGGGAACCCAGCCGCTATCACCCGGCAGACCCTCCGACAGCTGCTGCGGAGGGGCTGTTGTGAGGGGCTGGGTCCCAGGCTGAACGTTCGTCAGCAGAGCAAGCAGGGTGTGGACCCGGGCTTGGCCCCATAAAAGGCAGATCTGACTCCTGGATGGTGGAGAACACAAAGACTGGGTGAGAATGGGCCATTTTATAGAGTGATCTCAGAGCTCAGAAGGCATGCAATGCACCACTGGGAAATTTCGGGAGCCAAGTCTCTACATCAAGGCATAGATTCCTGAAAAAAGCAGGCTGTAGCACTGGAGAACCTGGGCTCACATGCCAGTTCAGTCCCTTACTAATTGTGCCATTTTAGGCATGTTACTTCAACTCACTGGGCCTCAGTTTTGTCATCTATAAAATGGGGATAGAAGAGTCCGTACCTCCTAGAGTTTCTAGAAGATGAAGTGACAAAGTCCTCAGGAAAAGGTAGCTGCCTGCTCTCGCAAGGCAGGAGGAGGTCAGAATTGAATGCTAGACCCAACTCTGGTCACTGGGTGACCCTGGGCAGGTCCCAGGGCCTCAACCCCAGCCCCAATAATGGGGATAATAATCTTGATGGATCTCAATGTGCTATCAGACAACATGGAGGTGAAAGTGATTGATAAAGTGGGAAAATGCCAAACAGGTGCGAATAACATCACCAGAAATGTCACTTTTAATGGTAGTAGCCTTACTAATAATAGTGGCAACTATCGTCTCTAACAAATAGTTATTACCACTCATTAAGCCATAGTTATGCAGGAGGGTTACGAGGCCCCACATCATGCAGTGCACCATTTCTCATGACAATTTCATACTGCAGGTGGCATCATGCTGACTTACAAATGGGGAAACTGAGGGTCTGAGAAGCTATGAATGTTGCCAACAATCCCGCAGCTGGCAAGTCGGGGAGCCAGAATTTCACCCCCAGGTATCTGATTCTGAAGGTGGTTTTCTGGGCCTCTGTGTTAGCCAGCTTCCCCAGTGTCACTGGGGGCAGCTCGCTGGCCAGGAGGAACTCCAAGACATCCAAGAGAACAGCCCCATACCATAGCAGCCGGGGGCCATGGCAACCTTGGGATCAGAAAGCAGCAGAAAGTGACCGTCTGATTTCACCAAGCCTGAGTCACCCACTGAACAGGGGGAAGCACTGAGGAGATGGGGCGGGGTGGGAGGCGAGTGGAGCCAGGGGGGCGATGGATTCAGAAGAGGCCTCTGCCGCCTTCCCTGCATCGGCCTGAATATCCCCACTCTTTCCCCATCTCCCACCGGCCTTCCATTTTGTCCCAGTGACTCCTTTCCCGGCTTTCCTCCTCCCACTAGACAGATGGAGAGACTGAGGCCAGGACGGCTGAGGTTCAGGGGTGCCGGGGGTAGAACTTGATGATGTACCCCCAGCAACCTTGCACTCATGCTTCGGCCCTACTCTGGGCACCCCCCATGCTGAGGGCTCCAATCACTTCATCTCTGACCACTGGGAGGGAGGCTGGGCCCTTGCATTCCAAGCTGGGTGCCTCGGCCAGCCGTGCCAGCCCCCCGACCAGAATGCTGGTCCTCTGACTCCCTGCTTCTACCCCAACAGTCCCACTTCCACATTGCCAGCTCCTCCAGCCCTGGGCCAGATATGACTTTTCCTCCTTCTCATGAGCAGGGCAAAAATATGTCACTGGGAGCCCAGAGTGCTGGCTTCTGCTTCCAACTGTGCTCCTCAAGAATGTTCCAACTTGTCCAAAGAACCATGAGGATGGACAGAGTCCCCCCGTGCTGGTGCCTTCTCCTCTGGATGATGGTCACCTATATCCAGGCCTCTCACCCTTGGACTAGTCCATCCCTCTCCCTCCTCAGCCCCTGGTGTGGCCTGGCACAGAGTAGGTGCTCGATAAAATCTGTTAATGATGGAGAAAATGTTTATACTTGACAGCCCCCTCTAGACAGTGAGAGTCTTAAGAGCTGGATCTCTTTCTTACCATTTTTGTACCTCCAGGGAGGAGCATATGCTAGCACACAGTAGGTGTGTGAAAAAGTGTAGGAGCTGAGTTGGCCTTGCTTCCCTAATCATAGTAGAGAACAGGTTATTGCGAGCTTCCCTTGGGTTCAAACCATGAAAGGCTTCCGGGTCCTTCCTCATCAGACCCCAGGGAACTCCTCAGTCTGGGCTTTGGAGACACCCAGGCAACCTGAGCTCATTGCTCCTCAGCCCCGCCTCCGGATCTGTGCCTGGGCTGGTCCCTCTACCCCCACACCCTCCCCACCTCCCCGAAGCCCACCTCAGACTGGGTTCCCAGCCCTGAGCCCTAGCTTTGGCTGAAGCAAATGCCCTTTCCCAGTTTCCATCCTCCATTGGCAGAAACTGAGGGATCTGAAGCAGGTTCTACCTGCTCCAAATGAGAGCAACTCCACCTCTACCCTCTGCACATCACCCCTGGGGAGGAAAAGGGGCTCCTGAACTTGAGTGCTCCTGGCCGCACCCTTCCCCTAGCTCTCCCAGCCTCTCTCACCACTCTGCCTTGAGAGCCTCAGGAATATCCCTGCTTCCTCAGTCATCATGAGAAGCCCAGGCCCGTGAGGACCCTCAGCTCTGTTTGTCCAGCATTTCCCATCTTCGTGCCTGCTTCTTCCATAACAGACATCACTTACTGGGTTCTATCTACCCTGCCCCCCGTACCAGACTACACGCTCCAAAGGAAGGGCCCATTTTCTGCCTTTCCTGCTGCCACATCCCCAGCTCCTGGAACTGCCGAAACCCCATCTCTACTAAAAATACAAAAATTAGCTGGGTGTGGTGGCACACGCTTGTGATCCCAGCTACTAGGGGGGCTGAGGCATGAGAATCTCTTGAAACCGGGAGGTGGAGGTTGCAGTGAGTGGAGATTGAGCCCCTTCACCCAGCTCCTGAAACTCCTCACAAGCACTTATCGCTCAGCAACTGCAGAGTGAATGAGTGAATGGACAAAAGCAATAATGCTGCTAATAACCAAAATGCTCCCAAGGAACAAACACCATTAGCCCCATGCTTCCATTTAACCCACACGATCACACTATCATGACCATGATTATTTTTTCTGTTTTTCAAATGAGCAAAATTCAGGCTCAGAGAAGTTAAATGATCTGCCCCAGGATTACAGTCAGAGAGTGGTGTAGCTGGGATTCTACCCAGGTCTGTCTGATTCTGAGGCTTGAACTCCTAACCCTTATTCTTTTTCCCTCTTCTCTTGTCTTCTTTCTCTTCTCTTCTCTCTCTTCTCCTCCTTCCTTCCTTCCTTCCTTCCTTCCTTCCTTTCTCTTTCTTTCCCTTTGTCTTTGTTTCCTTCTTTCCTCCTTTCTTTCTTTCTTCTTTTTCTTTTCTTTTCTTTTCGTTTCTTTCCTTTCTTCCTCCCCTCCCAGCCTCCCTCCCTCCTTTCTCTTTTTTCTCTTCCCTTCTTTCTCTTTCTTTCTTCCTTCCTTCTTTTCTTTTCCTTTCTTTCCTTTCTTCCTCCCCTCCTGCCCTCCCTCTCTCCTTCCTTTTCTTTTCTCTTCCCTTTCCCTTTCTCTTTCTTTTCTTTCTTTCTTCCTTTTTTCTTTCTTCCTTTCTTTCTTCCTCCCCTCCCTCTCTTTCTTTCTGCCCTCTTCCTCTTTCTTTCTTTCTTTCTTACTTTTCTTTCTTTCTTTCTTTCTTTCTTTCTTTCTTTCTTTCTTTCTTTCTTTCTTTCTTTCTGTCTGTCTCTCTCTCTCTCTGTCTTTCCTTTTTTGAGACAGGGTCTAGCTCTATCACACAGGCAGAGTGCAGAGGCACGATCTTAGCTCACTACAACCTCTGCCCCCTGGGTTCAAGCGATTCTTGTGCCTCAGCCTACTGAGTAGCTGGGGTTACAGGCATGTGCCACCACACCCAGCGAATTTTTGTATTTTTAGTAGAGACAAGGTTTCGATCTTGAACTCCTGGCCTCAAGTGATCGGCCTCCCGAAGTACTGAGATGACAGGTGTTAGCCACCACACCCAGCCACCTAACCCTTATCTGACAGTGGTTTGAGCTTAGGGATCATGAGGGCTTTGCTTACCTGGGGTCCAGGTTCTCCAGGGGTCCCCATACCACCTGGCATTCCAGGATGACCCTGCCAAGAGAGAGAAGAAAAAGGAGGAATCAGCTATGGAAGGTGCCCCTTCCTCCTTCAGTCCCATCTCGGTCAACTCAGCCCCAGTATAAAGCCAGGAGGACAGCAGCTAGGCCCCCCGGACAAAGAGGGAGCTGGTCATTCTGAACGTCTTGGGTAAGCGGTTCGCGGAGGACAGCAGAGCTGTCACTCAAGGCTGCAACAGGAGAGGGCAAGAGGATGCAGACTTACTCCTTACCATCGACCCCTTGGGTCCAGGCACGCCTGGGGGTCCCATCATGCCACGATCACCCTGTGATGGAGACAGCAATGCAGGCAGGTCACGGCTATGGCTGTGGGGTGGCTCTGTGGGAGGCAGGTGCAGAGGGCCATCCAGAGGCTCAAAGAGAGGTAGGGGTTTGCTCAAGGTCTCTAGAGGGTCCCTGCCTAGTTCACGGCCACATCACCCAGGTGGGGATCTGGGATTTCACTCAGAGGAAGCCAAGACCTCTGGCAAGCCCCGGAAGGCCTCAGCACCCCGTGTAGCGGGCCACGCAGTGAATTTCCCTCCAAGGATGGTCCTGATTAAGGAAGGTGCTAATTACATTGTCCCCTTTGATCCTGGCCCACATCATGCTGGTCCTTATTAGGCCTGGCATCCCCTGGGCTAGGCTTGCTGAGGCAGAAACCGCAAGAGAAGGGGTGTCTTTCACTCTCCTCACCCCCTTTCCAAACCTAGATGAGATGCTAGAGAATCAGAGACATAACTCATTCCCTCTCGAGCAATCCAGACACACTGGACAGAGTTGGCAGAAGGTAGGTGCTCTGGGTTCGAATCTTGGCTCTGTTTTTATGAGGCCCTGTTTCTTGCATCTGCCCAGCCAGTAAATATTTATTGAGCACCTATTATGTGTCCGACACTATCTGCAAGACTCTGAATATACAGTGGTGAGCAGGCTTGCCCCCATGGAGCAAGGCACTCAGAGGGTTGTAGGAGACACAGTGCAGTGAGGGTGGGGGTCATGGTGCTAAGGTGTTATCACTGGGGGACTTGACCCACTGGGGGCAGTGCTGGTCAGGGAAAGCTTCCCTCGGGAAGTCGCTCTTGACCCAAGAGCTGAAGGATAATGAAGAGCATCTGAGCAAAAAGGGTGGAGGCAGATGGGGATGGGAAGAGTGCCTTTGGCCAAGGGAACGGCACAGGCAATGATTTGTAGGTGAGAAGGGACATGGGACATTTGAGCAACAGCAGAAGGCCAGAGTTGGCTTTGATGTTGCGCTATCATTATGTAAGATGCTACCACTGGAAAAAACAGGGTGAAGGGTACTATTTTTTGCAACTTCTTGTGAATCTGTCATTATTTCAAAAGAAAAAGTTAAATTTAAAATTTCAAGACAAAAAGTTGAATTTAAAAGGAGGAGGAGCAGAAGGGGAAGGAGGAGGAGGGGGAAGCGAGGGAGGAGGAGGGGGAGAAAGGCAGAGGCCTGAGGGTCTGGGCCACATAGAGTGATACAGTGAGGCACAAGAGGAGCCTGGAGAATTAGGCGGGGCCATACTTGGGGGGATACTTCCTCCCTCTGGACCTCAGTTCCTCCATCTATTCAATGGGAATAATATTGGTTCTCCCAGAGGGCCTGCTCTGGGGATCGGATCAACCCATACAAAGGAAGGCAAGTGCCTCCAAGGCCCTTGGTGGGAGCTGGGAGCCAACAGGAGGCAGAGTGTCTTAGTGAGCAAAGTGTAACTAACCTTTGGCAATGAACCTGGTTCAAATCTGAGCACTGCCACTTATTATCTGGGTGACCTTGAGTAAGTCACCTCCCCTATTTGAGCCTCTGTTGTCTCATCTAAAACAGAGGCTTAGCAAGGCAACTTCATCCTTCCTCTTCGTAAAGATGAATCTTTTCCTCCCTGCTCTCGTCCACCCCGTGCAGGGCCAGTGGGCAGCCGTGAGGAGCTCAGGTCACACGCATCCGCTGGTTGTCACACAAAAGTCTAACTGTGCTTGAGGCTGATGACAGGAGGGCAGGGATGGAACCCCAAGGGATGCCAAGAAAGGGAACAATGGCTCTTGGCAGGCTCAGAATGCCAGGTCAGGAGAGAGGCTAGGGGAGGGAAGTCTGAAATCCCCAGGTCAAAGGGCCTCTTCACCTTTTTAAAATTTCAAAACACAAGCTCTAATTGTTTATCTTATCCCCTCAATACCACTTACCTTTTCTCCCACGATTCCTGGCTCCCCGACCAGACCAATGAATCCCATAAATCCCTATGAGACACATTAACGAAAGCAAGAGAAACAACGTGAATCCGGGGACCCAGCCTGCCTGCTCCTTCCCTTGAAGCTCATCTCCCAGCGGTCTCCCGCCCGTGCCTGGTCACCCAGCCAGCATGCGGCTGTGCCGGGGAGAGCGCTGCCTCTCTCTCTCTGGGCACCATTCTGACTTCCCTCACTCCACCAGATGGTTCTGATTTTGAAGCCAAGCCGTGGGGCCGCTGCCAACATCCCTGGGAGCGCCACACATTCTTCCCGCGCCAGAAGCAGGCTGGGAGGCTGCCACGTTTGGAGAGCTGGGGTTGGGGCGGGGGGTGGCCCTTAAGCTGAGCTGGGAAGAGGCCATCTGTGCCCATCTTTCGGGGCTCTGGGGCTGTTTCAAAGAGTGAAACAAACCCTCTGGCTGGGATAGAAATACCGTAACAGCCTCCGCCAAGAGAACTGATTGGAATCAGGGAGGCGGAGGCCTCTTTACTGTCTTCTGAAAGGCCTTCTTGCCTGTTTCTGAAAGGGTGCACACACAGACACACGCTGTGGCTCCCGCTGCTCTGCTGAACTCCGCTGGGTGACAACTTGCCTCTGGGTTCCAGGGGGTCTTTCTAGGTGGCCCCAGCCCTTGCCATCTCCCTGAGCAGGCAAACACGCACACATGCAGCGAGGGTGGACAGCCAGGAGGGGTCACCGAGGAAGGCCCACCAATTTCTTATTCAGGCCCTCCTTTCTTCCCTGCTAAGGAAAATGCAACTGAGTGGGGAGGGCCTTGTGTGGTTCAGGAGTGCAGAAGTGGCTTCAGAAGAACCCAGATTTGCAGCCAAGAGTGAATTAGGAAAGACGGAGGGATGAGTGGATTTCTTCCACAAAATCCGCTCCCTGTCCCCCAAACCCTGGCCAGAGTAGAATGAGACCTTGGGCCAGGAATAGGCCAGAGGTTGTGTACTCAGGCAATAAAGCCGGTCCAGCTGTCAGTCAACTACAGTGAGAGCGTTACCTCTGAGATCCACACTTTCTTATCTAAAGACAGTTTTAAAGTGGTCACTTCAGCAAGGGCCACACGTGTCTTGCTGCTGCAGCCTGGGATGGCAGCTCTGGTTGTGTGGCTCCAAAGACCATGCACCTTCCCCTCCAGCCCAAGGCCTCCAAAGCATGTGGCTGTGAACAGGGCCCAGATCTCCCTTACATCCCAGCACCACCCTGGCACTACACATGGTGGGTCCTGGGCCTGCCTCTAGTTCCCTGGGCTCAGAGACCTTTCTGAAGTATAAGGTAAGAGGGATGAGGTACTAGGTATGAGGTCACAGCTAACATATCACAGAAAATAATCAAATATTTGATTTTTGCAATAACTTAATTTTTAAAAATTAATTAGAACATTTTCCAAGTGATAGCAATATTATAACAGCTTGAACATATTGAGCACTTCCTGTGTGCCAAGCCCTGTACCAGGCACTTTATGTCACTGTCATTCAGTCTTCAGGTGTGTGGGTTCTGGGCAAATCAGTCTCTCAGAGCCTCATCTGCAGAATGGGGGACAATAAAGGTACCTCCCTAACTCCTGGCGCTGTTCTGAATACGGGAGATGGCGCACGATGCGTAGAGGTACTTCATACATGTTCGCTCTTTCCCATCCCCTCTTAATTTATTTTACAAGGGCACAGGGGTAAGACAGAGGCCTGAGCTTCCCACAAGGGAGCAGTCAGACATTTAGAGGATGCCAAATGAAGGGAATAAAAACTGCTCTGTTAAAAGGCCCCTGCCTGATTGGCCCAGAGAAACAGAAATTTCATAGCTACTTTAAATTTATGAGATGTTGGGTCCTGGAAGGCAAGCAGGTCATAAACCTCAAACAAGAAGCCAAACAGGATCCTAATGAATAAGAGCCATACAGCAAGTGCCCCATCGCCCAACTCGCACCCCTGAGACCCCCCTTGGGGTACCGTCCCAGAACATCCTGGCAGGCCTGTTCTTGAGGCCGGTCCAGAGAGGCCAGGCCCCGAAGTCCAGGCAGGTCAACGGAAAAGCAGCTCTGAAAGCTGTGGGCATGGCTGGCTCCTCTCAGGTTGGCAAGGCGGGCACAGGAGGAGGCAGCATTGTTGCCCACAGCGGGCACTGCACAGGCGGGATCCGGGTCCCCAGTTTTGGGGAGGAGGCTAGCCTGGTCCTCACATTGCCTACAGATAAAGGGCCATTGTCTGCTATGGGAGGTTTTCTTTCTCCTCTCATATGCTAGGCCTTGGGGATACAACTGAGAATGAAAGGGCTATGGACGCTGAGCTGCACTAGACAGCTCAGTGTGATGTGTTTCCATGCGTGGCTGCCCCTGGACGGGGCGTCTTGAAGGCAAGACCCATGCCCTGTCCTCAGCACCTCAACCAGGGCTGGGCAAGCAGTCTGTGCTCTGTTAGAGACATGCCAGGGCTCAGGAGGTCAGCGAGTTTTCAGCCCTCGAGGCAGGCATTGGGAACCCAGCAGACCTCAGTGTCAGTCTTGCCTCTGACAGTGATGTTACTGCCTGTGAGATCTTGGACAAGTTACTTAACTTCCCAGAGCCTCAGTTTCCTCATTGGCAAAATGAGGATAGTAATACTGACTGCCATAGACGATTGCGTAGATAGCATTTGGCACAGAGTCTGGTACCTAACAGGTGACTAATGAATGTCACTGTTATTGGGTCGTTGCAAAAGTAATCCCAGTTTTTGCCGTTATAATGGTAAAAACTGCGATTACTTTTGCACCGACCCAATACTATGATTACAAGGAGGTCCCGTGGTGTGAGCTTCAGAACTTTCCCAGGGATCCTCTGATTCTGCAGTGAACAGAAAATGCCTGCCCTTTCACTGTGACCACATGGGGTGGGGGCCAGGGGAATCGCTGGCATGGTACCTCCATGTGCCTTACAGCAGCCACAGGGTTCCAGCTCTTCCTCCTTCCTGCTACTGTCCAAGCTGCCTGGGCAGCAAGCTGGGCGCTCTGCTGACCAAATGAGCCTGGGCTGCTCCAGGCGAGGTTCCCACCCCTCCTGGGCCTGGTTCTGCCACTATCCCACTTGGTGATCTTGGTCAAACCTGCTTCTCCTCCATAAATCCCAGATTGCCAACATGGAATCGAATCTAGGGGTTCTAAACCTGGGGTCTCTGTCAGACTCTATGAACAGAATTCAGAGAGTATATCAACTTGAATGGAAAAAAATTAGAACTCTTATTTTCATGAACCTCTAACTGAAATTTACATGTGCCTCAAATATGAGTGTAGGCAACAAACCACAGTAGTATTACAAGGACCTGGGACTGTCCCAGAAAGTGACATGTCACATTACCATCATTGCTGCAGAGATCTCAAAATACATCACTAAGGCTTGGCATTACTTTAAAATTGAGGCCGCTGTTACACTTGCTGCTAGAACTCATTATTTAATGCATTGCCAAAGAAGCATATATATGACTATATTAAATGTTAACATATTTTCATAATTGCATTTCTATATAATCAGTTTCCTTTGTTTTTAATTTTAGGCATTTACAAACTCTATTCTGAGAAGGGGATCCTTGGGCTTTTCCAGCCTGGCAGAGAAATCCAAGGCACAAAAAATGGTTAGGACTCTTAGATACAGTGATTTCCAAGGATGTTTGTGTTCTGACTTCCAAGACCCTACATATCTATTTCCCGAGGGCCCTACCATTAGCATAACTATGAAATTGAATTTGCTGATCAAATTGCCCTTTTTTTTTTTTTCTTTTCCAATCAGGAAATATATCCAGGCCACGGCAGCCTTTCCAAACTCCTGGGCTTCCCACAGAATGCGCTCGAATGTCACTGGAAAGAGTTCAAAAATCCAGGCCTCCCCCTGCTTTAATTCCTTTCTTCCCCCAACAGATGTTGCAGGCCTGGTGAGGAAGCCCATCGTGTGTGACTCTCACGCCACTGACAGGGTTTCGCAGTGTGGCCAAATTCCTCTATGGTCATCCCGAGCATCAGTCGTTCCAGCTTGAGGAAGCCCCTTCCAGAAATGAGCTCCATATTTAAAGGAGTGGAGGAGATGAACACCTCTCCACCTCTGAGTCCTGAGGTTAAGCTTTCAGGAGACCCCAGGGCTGGGCAGGAAGGACTGAAGCTGTCCGTCCGCCCATCACTCAGAGCTGTTTCTCTGGACTTTAATTGAAGGTCGTGATCCTCAAACCTCCATTTTAATGACTAGTTGCAACCTCTTCTCTTCTTCAGACCTTGACCAACCACCAGAGCCACTGGTTTGGATTTCATCTTCTATATAATTTAGGGATGCCTAGACCAAGGGCCTTTGGCAAGTGGTAACACTTCTCTGGCTTTTGGCTTCCTGATCTATAAGCTGATGGGAACACGAGCAACGACTGCCAAGGGCTCCTCCAGTTTTTTTTTGTTTTTTTTTTAATTTTTTTAAACTCTTATTTATTATTATTCATCACTTTAAGTTGTAAGGGTACATGGCTGCCTAATGTGCCCGGTTTGTTACATATGCTCTACTTGTGCCATGTTGGTGGTGCTGCACCATCAACCTCGTCCATTTACCCTCAGGTATCAACTCCAATGCATCCTCCCCCTCCGCCCCCTCCGCATGATAGGCCCCGGTGGTGGTGCATGTTCCCTTCCTGAGTCAAAGTGATCTCATTTTCAGTTCCAACTATGAGTGGAACATCAGCAGCGTTTGGCTTTTCTGTTCTTCGTTGATACGTTTGCTAAGAATGATGGTTCCAAGCTGCCTCCAATCGTCCCTACAAAGGGACCACAACTCCTGCTTTTTTATTGGCTGGCATAGTACTCCTCCCATGGCTGTATACTGTGCCACTTTTCTTAATCAGTCTGTCAACTGATGGCAGCATTTGCGGTTGATTCCCAGTCTCTCTGCATCTCCCGCTGCCTCCTGCCTGCATCCACACCCTCACCCGTCGTGCATGTGGTCTTTATAGCAGCCATCAATTCTAATGAATCTTTGGGGTATCATACCCCGTAACTCGGGACTGGCTGGGTCCATATCGGTGACACTCTTCTCTCCTCAGATCCTCTCGAGCCTCGCACTCAACCTCCGTTTTCCCATCAATGGTTGACTAGTCTTAACAATCCCCCACCCAGTGTCCCACCAGTGCTTCCTATTTCTTCCCTCCACATCCTCCTCCAGCCCCCTCGTTTGTTTCCTGCTTTTTCATGATCGCCATTCTACCTGTGTGAGGACCTGGTATCCCCTCTTGTGGTTTTGATTTGCATTTCTCTGATGGCCAGTGATGATGAGCATTTTTTCATGTGTCTGGAGGAGCAGTCACATAACCTCTTTGGGCAAACGCACCAAAAACCTGTGTGTAGAGTCAGGCTGTGGGAAAAAGCTGTCAGGACTCTGATCTACGCCTTTCTCATTTAGAGACTTCCCCGCTCTGAGGGTCACCGTCTACATCCATCAGAGGGGTAGAGGACTGAACCTACCTCGGGAGTTGTTCTGAGAATTACACGAGGTGATGCCTGGAGGGTGCTGGGCAAAGGGCACAGAGTAAGGGCCCAAGAAAATGGAGCCACTCATTCAGAGACCGTTGCTAACTAACCTGCTCTCCCACAGGCCCCGGCCGGCCAGGATCCCCTGGTTCCCCCTGCAAAGAGACAAAGAGGAGGATGGATTAGGATGGCAGATGAAAGTCTAGACCTCCTGGGGAAGTCCCAGGCCTGCTGGCCTTAGTTGCCATTGGTGGGGATGAACCAGGGATCTTATCTCCAGTGTGTGGTCTTGGAGACCCCCAACAAATGGGGCAGAGTCAAAGCGGTACTTGGACAGAATCTCAAGCAGACATGACTCTAGTCACCCATTCCCTCTGAGGGGGCCTTGGCTTACTCAGCACCCAGATGTATACATCTCATCTAGGTCCTTCAGAAGCCCACTGCATTTTGTGGAGGTGGAAAATGAGGCCCAGAGAGGTGAAGTGACCTGCCTGAGGTCACACAGTGAGCCAGAGGTAGGGCTACAACCGAAACCTTGGTCTGCCCGGTTGAAATGCACATTCTGAGCCAGGTGCGGTGGCTCATGCCTGTAATCCCAGCACTTTGGGAGCCCGAGGTGGGCAGATCACCTGAGGTCAGGAGTTTGAGAACAGCCTGGCCAACATGGAGAAACCCCGTCTCTACTAAAAATACAAAAATTAGCTGGGTGGGGTGCTGCATGCCTGTAATCCCAGCTACTTGGGAGGCTGAGGCAGGAGAATTGCTTGAACCCAGGAGGTGGAAGTTGCAGTGAGCCGAGATTGCACCACTGTACTCCAGCCTAGGTGACAAGAGAGAGACTGTCAAAAAAAAAAAAAAAAAAAAAGAAAGAAATGCATATTCCCACTGCATCAGGCTGTCCTATCGCAGGAAGAGCAGGGACATGGGACGTCAGGGCACCAGGGTCCTAGACCTCAGCACACCAGAGCTCTGCCACCAGCTCACAGGTGGCTGGGGTGAGTCCCATCTCTGCTCTGGGCTCAGCTGCCCCAGCTATAAAGAAGGGAAATCAGACTCATTTGTCTTCAAGGCTCTGTCCCACTTTCACATTGGGTGGCCTATCTCGGCCTTGTCTGTCTGTTTTGTCCCATGCTGAGGTGGCTCCTGCTCCTCAGGCGGCCACAGCGCCCCGGTCTCCCCACAGCAGACCTGTGGGATAAATCCACACAAGCGATGTCACCACTCCCACCACAGAAACCCAACTGGTATCTGAGGGAGAGAGGCCGAAACCTCAGACGGCAAGACATGAGCTCGGGACTAGCCAGGAGTTTGGCGCATACAGGGATGTGGCTTACTGCGAGCCTGGGTGGAGCCTCCTCCCCCTTCAGCTCCTCCCCGGACCTCATGAAAACTGGAGGGGCCAGGACAGATGCGTGGGCCATTTCCCCAGAAGGGAAGTAGCTGTGGATGACCTGGGGTCCCCCGGCTCTATCCTAACCTCCTGTGGGTTTGCCCATCTGTAATCTTGACCCGATAATCTTTTGCCCAGAATGGCTAGGAAACTCCAACTCAAGGAGAGTCTTTGGAAAACTATTAAGTGAGGCTGCCCATGGGCTGAGGATCATTACTGTCCCACCTTGGGCCAGGTCTTTTTTGATAATATTTTTTAAAAACCCTATTAATATATGTACTATCTATTTACTATGCAGAATAGGGAAAATATAGAGGTCCACAGAAGAAAATGAAAATCTCCTATTGTCCCACGACCCAGAGATAATCCCTGTCCACTTTCTAGCCTCTGCTCTGTGCATAAAGAAACAGGGTGCCATGTTGGCCAGGATGGTCTCGATTTCTTGACCTCATGATCTGCCTGCCTCAGCCTCCCGAAGTGCTGGGATTACAGGTGTGAGCCACCGCACCCGGCCAGCATGGTGAAACTCTGTCTCTACTAAAAACACAAAAAATCAGCTGGGTGTGGTGGCGCACGCCTGTAGTCCCAGCTACTCAGGAGGCTGAGGCAGGAGGACAGGTTGAACCTGGGAGGTGGAAGTTGCAGTGAGCCGAGATCGCACCACTGCACTTCAGCCTGCAACAGAGCAACTCCGTCTCAAAAAAAAAAAAAAAAAAAAGAAAAAAAAAAAAAAAAAGAAATGGTGCAACCCAGCCCCTGCTACAGGCTCACACTTGAGCATTTCCTTTTATAACCTGTTTCCTCCACCACCCCCACCCCACATTCAGATATCTTCCCATCTTGTAAAATAGCCCAAAACACCAACTAGGGTGGCTGCACTATATCCCACTGCTTGAACAATCCCCCACAGTTGGACACTTAAGTTATGTCCATTTTTTTCATCTTTTACCAATACTTTGTTCTAAATGGGAACCAATTTTTTTCTCCCTTTTCACAACTGGCCGTGGGATTTGCGGTTTGAATTGGGGCCTGAATATGTAGGACCCCCTCTTTCCTCTTGTCCCAAAGGATCTCCAGGTCCCCTTACCTTCACGCCATCCAGGCCGGGCCTCCCAGGAAAGCCCTTCCTGCCAGGCTGACCCTGCAACAGAGAGAGAGGTAAGTGGGAGAAGCTGGGCAGGGGCAACATTGCTGGGGTCCAGGAGCCCCAAGGACCTGGCATGGGGTATCCATGGCTGTAGAGAGCCACATACCCTGGTGGCCGGGGGCATAGAACCCTGAGTCCACCAGGTGGCCAGCCGTCCTGGAATGCAGGCAGGGTTTCCAGCTGCGTGAACTCTGGGAAGCCTCCCCCATCCCTGGGCTGGTCTTCCTGTTGTAAATGAGGATGATGACACCTGCCTTCAGGGAGTGAGGGAAAGGAAGGAACTTGGCAGATGATAGGGGGCACAGGGAAGGGAATGGTTTATGCAAGTGGTCCTCAAAGTGTGGCCTGAGGACTCCAGGGGTCCCTGAGACCCTTTCAGAAGGTTCACGAGGTCAAAATGATTTTCATAATAACACTAAGATGTCATTCGCCTTTGTCACTGTCACTCTCGTGAAAGTAAGTGGCATCATCCCGAGGCTGCATGGTGTGCGATATTGTCAGTGGGCTGAATGCAGAAGCAGAGCGGAGAAGCCAGCTGACTTCTATTAAGCCAGACATTAAAGAGATCTGCAAAAATGGTAACACAACGCCACTCTTTCCACTCAATTATTTTGCTATGGAAAATAGAGTGAATTCTCCTAAACATATTATTTTTATTAACAGGAAATGAGCTTATGATTAATCTTCAATGAATGAATAAATACATTTAAAGTCTCTTGGTTTTAATTACTAATCTCAGTAGATGCAACCCACACAAACAAAGGTCTTTGGGTCCTCCATCATTTTTAAGAGTGTAAAAATCTCTGGATACCAGAAACTTCATGAACTGCTGGTTTATGCAATGGCTGGGATCAAAGGGGGTGTGGGACAAGTGACTTCAGAAAGGCAGCTTGGAAGAGCGCAGAGGGCTCAGGCTAAGGGCCCAGGCAGGGCGTCCCCACTGCCTGGCTGTGAGATGTTGAGCTAAAGCCTTCACTCTCGTTTGCCTCTTCTCTAATGAAACCAAGGAAAGCAATCCTGTGTCATGGGAGAATCAAGGAGAATAAATACTGACATGAAGCACCTGGCATATAGGGGGTGGGCGGTGACAGTCAGTTTCCTGGCTCTTGTCTCTCTCCTTTGGGTCTGTCTTAGTTCTCTCTCTGGCTGGTGCAAGGCCCTCACTGATGACTTCCCTCTGGAGCACTGACCACGTTGCCCTGCCTGTGCACAGCTGGCTCAGCTCCCATGAATGCCACCTACCCCAGGCTAGTGATACTCACCTCCAAGCCAGGGGCCCCTGGTGGCCCCATGGGTCCCTCATCTCCCTAGAATGGGAGACACGAGAGAGGAAAAAAGGAGAAAGTTAATCCAGTTGGACTTGCAGAGATCTTGTCCTGTATGGAGGGAAAAGGATGGACGGAGGAGAGCCCTCCTGGACAAAGAGAAACAGTATCCCTGGCCCACTTGCCTGGCCCCACTCAGGGCAGAGGCTCCACTGGCCATGGCCTAAAGGCCAGGCTACACAGTGACTTCCAGTGAATGGCGACTCCATGGAAGTCCTGGGCATCAGAGTTAAACCCCATTGTGTGCTGTGAGGAACAGAGCCTCAAACTGCAGTTCAAAGACGTAGGCTCTGAGTTTTGCCATTTGCTCACTGGCAGACCTCAGCCTCACTGTGTTTCAGTTTCCCAGAGTGGAGAAGATCATCCTCAAGTATAGTAAGTGGCTTCAGCTGAGCTCCTGGAGCTCAGCAATGATGCCTTATTCTTTCTTGCAGCCACCCCCAAACATCACTTGGGATGGTGCAGTGTCTAGGGGGTGTTTGGTGAATGAATGAATAAATGAAGACGTGAACAAGTAGCAGGCATACATCTTGAGTGGTAATGTGAGTGTAGACAGAAGCACGTGGCTGGTGCCATTCCCTCCTCTCCCCTACTTTCCCGCTTCTGGCCCATGAGACTCTCCTGGTCCCCCGCAATCCCCACAGGCTCAGGGAGCCTCCGAATTGGCTCCTTCTGGTATGCCAGGCCTGACCAAGGGGCTCCCTCCAGAGCCACACCCCAGCTCCTTTCCCCCAGCTTCCAGGAAAGCAGCTCCACGTGGTGGCTCCCAGAGCCAGCGCTGGGACCCCGCCAGACCCAGAGCCAGCCCAAGAAGGGATCCATGTCAGCTGGATGCCCGCCTGCGGTTGCGGTAAATCTGGGCTTCCCGCACCCTCAGCCCAGGGCTGTGTGTCACGGGGGCCTGGCGCCTGAGCTAAGGTAAGTGGGGCACAGGAAGGCTAAGGATGGCCTCATGCACAGGACAAAATCAGGGGCCCACCCATTGAGTGCCCACCTGGTGCTCCAACAGCCCCATAGAGACCCTTCCCAACCCACTTCATCAAGTGCACATAAATAAGCAGATCGATGCTCTGCCACTCACTAACTGTGCAAGTCAATGTAATATTCTGGAGGTGCCCCCAGGTCACTCCCAGGAAGCACAGAGTTGACAGCACAGGACATATGTCATGGGCTTTGGGTTCAAGCAGACCCGGGTTCCCATTGTGGCCCTGCCTGCTACTAACCATAAGACCCGACTGAGTCTTTTTTCCTCTCTGGGCCTCAGTGGCTTCATCTGTAAAATGGGGCTGATAATTCCTACTCCCCCATTAATGTCCTCATAAACTGCTACTGTGAGCATGGCATTGGCAGTAGTTCTGGGAAAGAAAACTCCAGGGTGATGAGGGTGCAGTGGAGGGAGGGTGCGGGGAAGCCACCCTGCCAGGTGACAGCAGGGCAGAGAAGGTCCCTGGAAGGGGCATGGGCAGAGCTGTATAGGATGAGCTGGTGGGTGAGTCTGGGGCAGCCCTGGGTGGTGTCCTGGCTGAGGGGGCTCCAGCCCCAGCTAAGGCCTTCAGTACCCAGGACAGGGCAGGCTGGGGGCTGCAATCAGGCCAGGATGGGCAGTGGAGCGGGGCCAGACAGTCTCACCTCGGGCCCCAGCTGCCCACGGGGTCCCGGCAGGCCTCGGGCTCCAGGCTTACCCTGGGGAGAAGGGAACAAAAAGGGAGAATCAGAGGCGGCACCTCCATCTCCATCACAAGCTGGCAAGGCACCCCCTGCTTCCAAGCCAGACAGCCAGCCCTTGAGGCCTGTGGTTTCTGCAGAGCTGTCTGCTCCTCCAATTGGAGCTGCCCTGGGCAGGTACTTACCTTCATGCCTTCTGGGCCGTTGTCGCCAGGGGGGCCGATGTCTCCTGGGAATCCCTGAGGGGAAGCAGAGAGCAGGGTCACCCACGGAGGCTATGAAGGGAGTGCTACAGGTATGCGTCTTGCAGGGGGACTGACTGGGTTTCCATCTTCTCCTGCTGGGATGGGACCCCAGGCAGGTCAGTTAACCACCTTGATCCTACAGTCCTCAGTTCTAAAACAGGGTGCGTGGTTCCAGCCCTGACACCTCAGAGAGTTGCTGAGACAATACACCGAATGGTGCAGGAAAGCATTAAGGTTGTGACACGGAAGGTCACACTCAAGGTCATTATTTCTCAAATCTGGTGCTGCTACCGGGTCAGAATTATGGGTGTCTGGGGACATTGCTCCCCAGGGCCAGCCATGCCTTGCCCTGAGAAGTCTTGTCTTTTGACTGCAGTAATCCTGCAGAGAGGATGATTTTCTGGGTTTGCTGTGACTTTGAAAGCATTGAAAAGCGCTGATTTAATTAACGTCAGCTCCAGTCATTGTAAGCTGAAGTCCTTCCTACATCCTGGCCACATGTGTTAGACTCTGCCCCACTCTACCCATGGGGGCTCCCTGCTTCCCGATGAGGGCCATCCCCCTGGGATGACTGTACAATAGAAGGTTCTTCCCGCACGGAGCGGAATCACCTCCCTTCCCTGCAATATCCTCGTGCTCCTCCTTAGGGTCCCACAGAGCACAGGGACTCCCTCTCCCCACAGTGGTCTTTGCACAATTTGGAGACCTGTTACTCGGTTCCCAGAGCCCTGCCCTCCTCCTGTGCTACCCTGAGCAAGTTCCTTAGCCTCTCTGGGCCTCAGCTTCCTTATCTGTAAAATGGTGCCTGTAACACCTCCCTTACAGGGCTGTTCTTAAGTTTAAATGGAACCAGCAAAGTTGCAAGTGCTCAGTAAAAACTGCATCCAAAATGATTTTGGGTCCTGTACCCTGGGAAAAGAACTCTGCCTGGGGTGGGCCATCTCTAAGTGAGACCTTGGTAGTCAGGATGCTGAGCAAATCCTGATGCTCACTCGCACCTGACCCATTGATGAGTGAGAGATGCTTCCCCGGGTGCTGGAGAGCTGGAGCTCCCTCCCATGGTCTCTGGGAAAGAAGCAGGCAGGGTGCTGATGCGCTTATCAGCTTCTGCGCTTATCAGCTTCCGCCTTCAGCTGAGCAGAGCTATCTCCCGGCTACGGAGTTGGCCAATCAAAACAGAACACAAAGATGGGAGAGGCTAATGGCTAAATTGTCCAGGGACCCGTGAGAGGGCCAAAGCAGACCTTATTTGCTCTTACATAGCAGAGCGACCCTGAGGAAGCCACTCTCCTGCTCTGTGACTCAGTTTCTTCAACTGTAAACTGGTTGTAGTCATATCTCCCTCATGTGCCTCTGTGGTGATTCAGAAAGTTCTCATCTCGAGGACACTACACAGCCTCCTGGCACCAGGAGGTGCCTAATAAATGTGAGGGAGCATGCCTTCCACCCTCATGGGCCAGAATGCTGGGAAAGCCGGACTCTCAGAAAAGCCTTTTTCCAGTGACCAGAGGAGGGAATTGGGGCCATGGAAAAGAGGCCAAGTCCATTTGTCTAAAGATAGGACTGTGTGGTGGCCAAAGTCAACACAGTGGAAAGTCAGAACTTGTAGCTTTTAGGAAACATTTCCTCATCCATCCGAGTGATAGCAGAAGTGATCCTTGGAAGGGTCCGGCCTATCCGCAGAGCCACACTTTTGTCTTGGATGCAGAGACCTCATAGGTGAGCAAGACCTGGAGGCCAGTGATTTGTGGGTGGCGGGGGGCTCCAACTGGGGTTGGCCTAGGTGCCGATGATCCTGAGAGGGACAACAGCCCTGGCTCCTGCTCAGCCCAGCTTTCGAGACACGAGACGCATGCTAAAGAGAGTGGGGGTAAAGAGAACCTGGCCAGCTTGCTTCGCTCCATTACGTGTGAATTCCGAGTTGATCATTCAGGTGTAGCCTACCTGTGCCAATGATCACACCTATCGGAAACCCTCAGGGTCTCTCCTTACTCAACTAGAGTTATTATATGAATTGTTAAATCTATCCTTATTTCTCATTCTTCATTCAAAAGTCTGAGTTTTCATTTACCTCTTGCTCCCCATACTGGGAAGCCCTGAGCCCTGAATCGTTCCAGAGTGGCTGTGGGTGGTTAGGAAAGTTCCAGGGCTTGGAGAGGGAACTCTGAGTGGAGAATGTGGGAAGCTCCTGTGAGGGGCCCAGACAGTGGCGCACAGAGGGCTTTCATGAATCACAAAGCTGCAGTGGCCACAAAGTTGGCAGAGGACTCTGAGGCCAGCTTTTTGTCCCTGTTGACTTTTGAGAGCCCCTGGGTAAGAGCAGAAGAGCAGAAAGGGAAAATAAATGATTGCTGATCTAGGAATTTCTCCTCTCAGCCTCATCTCTCATATCCTGCATGACCTAAAGCAAGTCTTTCCCCGTCTCTGGGCCTCAGTTTCCCAGGGACGAGACCGAGTCCCAGCTGCAGCCAGACACAGAGAAATGGGGCATCACATACCTCGGGTCCAGGGGGCCCGGGAAACCCAATGGATCCTTTGTCTCCAACTTTGCCCTGTGGAAGAGAAAAGGTTGCAGGGAGGCAGGGGTGAGGGCCCCACCTTCCATGAACCCCCCGCGTTACCCCCCTGGCTGTGGGTAGTTGGAAAGTTCAGGAGCATGTGCATAAAATCTCCCTGGGCAACTAGAAGGAGCCACCATTCAAACTCTACCTCCTGCACTTACTAACCAGGGGACCCTGGGCAAGTCACTTCAACCTTCGGAATCTTAGTTTGCCCATCCGCAAAATGGGAGCAATATTAATTCCCTAACTCCTGGGGTAGTTGGCAGCCTTCAAAGAAACAAAGTTCAGAAAGACACACAGCGACACTCAATAAATGACAGCCACTGCTGTTATTGATAACATCACTACTGTTTACAAGACATCAGGAACCCCAGATCCTCATCAGGGTTTTGTCGGTGAATAAGGCCTGCCTCTGAAGCTGGCTGAGTTACTGAGCCTCTCACAGCATCCTCATCTGTGAAATGAGCAGATCCCATTCCTGCCCTGCCCTGCCCTGCTGCCCCCAGGAGCTCTGCTGCAGGAGGAAATGAGGTCTTCGAGGTGAAGGTGTCCCCAGCCACGTTCCATGATCAGTCAGAAAGTGTGAGATTTGAGGGTGCTGGAGGAGCAGGTACTTACCAGAGGCCCTGGCTTCCCCCGTGCGCCGGGGAACCCTGGCAACCCCTGGCTCCCCTGGAAGAGATCCAGAGCAGGCTGGGGTTAGTGAGGAAGAGAAATGGCCAGGTGAACAGCCGCCCAGTCCTCCTGCTGGTCCCAGGCCCAGAGAATGCCCACCTTGGAGGAGGATGAGCTCCTTCCTTCCTTTCCCTGCTGCGGGCTCGACTTGGATCACACCTGCCTGACACCCCTATAGGCTGGGCCCCAGGAAATGCTAATGAGAAACAGCAGCCCCTGTCCTCACCAGGAAGAATCAGGGACCCTGAGGCTGCATGCAGGCTCCGCAGTGCCTCTGACGCCTGGGGAACTGTGGAGACTGGGTCCAGTAGCGGAAGAGCCAGGCCTGCTGTGGTTCACAACCCGGAGATACCAAGGCTGGGTCAGGACAGGCCAGTGAGGAGGGAGGGAAGAGGAAGAGGGAGAGCTGGCCAACATCTGGGCCTCATTGACTGGCCGGGAGAGTTCCAGATGTGGCCACATGATGCCAGACACAGGCAAAGGGGAGCAAGTCTCAGCAGGCCCACAGCTGTGCTCTGGAAGTCAAGGCCACCTCAGTTTGATCCCGTAGTCAGTATGTCATTTTGTAAGGCCAGTTACCTTATCCTAAATATTCATGGTCAAGGGCAGGACCCTGAGCCCAGCTCCATCAGGGCAGTCTGGAGCCTTGTTCTCAGGGAACTCACTGTCCGGCAGGGACTCAGCACAAGTCACCCAAAATCAGAGGAGAAGGGTGGCACCACCAGCGAGGGAAGGACGTGCCTCTCAGGGCACTTAGAGAGGGAAATGGCCACTTTCTGAGCAGCTGGGGAGATGGCCTCTGAGCAGGGTGGCGTGGAGAGGCTGGGTGGAGGGGTCCCGGGCGGGTAGCAGTCTGTGTGTGTGTACAGAGGCGCACAGCAGGCGGTTCGGTGGGGCTGGAGTGCAGGGCTGTAAGGGGGACAGCAGGAATGTATCAGAGAGATGCACTCACTGGGGTCCTGATGTCTGGTTAGGGAGCCAGGGTGCCATTCTGAGAGCAATAGAGAGCCATGGATGGTGTGTGAGCAGAGAGCACAGCTTTGCCCTCAGAAGAACAATTGGGTAGCAGTAAGAAAGAAAGAGAGAAAGCAAGAGGCTGGGGCCCAGAAATAAGTTAAAAGGTCACTGTAAAGTCAAAGGAAGAGATGACAAGTGGATCAAGGATGGAGAAGACTGGATTATTTCAAAGGCAGCCGTCTCACAGGTGGGTCCTGGCTCATGATGGGCCCTAGGAAGGAAGCCAGGACCAGGGAACAGCAAGGCAGGGGCAGGGGCAGGGGGAGGGGAAAATCTGATGCAATTACCTTGTCTCCTTGGAATCCGGGATCTCCCGACACACCTGGAACCCCTTGTTCACCCTAAGTACACACCAGCAAAGAAGGTTACAATGGAGACCACATGGGCTCTGGAAGCCTCCCCCACAGACCCCCTGGCGAGGTACAGCTGTGCCGAGGCTGTTTCCCAAGTCGGATCTGGCCAGCAGCAGCCTTGTGAAAGGAAAGGACGGGCCCCTGGCGAGGAAAACAGGCGGTGGCGGGGGGAGGTGAGCTGGCCGATGTGCAGACTTGCCTGGGGCTACTGGGATGGCTGGAAACGCCACTAACAGAAGCTAAGCTGCCCACTGCCCAGTGTCAACTGGCCTTGCCTGGAGAACTGACGCAGAGCAAATGAAGTGTTTGATCCTTCAGCCTCTTCATCATCAACTGGTATTGTCACACAGGGGTGAGGGCAGCATGTGCAAGGGCCTCACACCAATGTGGTTTCGGAGTGTTTGCGTCTGCTGTTTGATATTTTTCACCATCAGACTGAGCTGTCACTTCCTCCTCCTGTGGGGGTTTCTGTGCTAGCAAGCAGCTTTGGTCTATTTTTTTTTTTTTGAGATGGAGTCTCACTCTGGTTGACCAGTTTGGAGAGCAGTGGTGCGATCTTGGCTCTCTGCAGCTTCGACCTCCTGGACTCAGGGATTCCGTCCAACCTCAGCCTCCCCAGTAGCCGGGACTACCAGGCCGCGGCCCACCACGCCCAGCTAATTAGTTAACATTTATTGTTTTATTAATTGTTTAGTAAAGATGGGTGTGTACATTGTTGCCCAAGCCTGGTCTTGGAATCTCCTGGGACTGCAGAATGATCCGCCCCTTCAGCCTCCAAAAGATGCTGGGATTAGCAGCGCGTGGAGCCATGTGCCCGCCGATTCTACTTCTAATTTAACTATTTTAATCAAGCTATAGCATGGGAAATCAGAGTTTCCTGGGCTTTGTTACAAGGACCTATGTGTAAACAGCGATAAAATGGTCTACTTTAAGTCTGGGTGTTTGTCTGTCTAACACGATGTACGTGCACAAGGCTTAGTGCACTGCATTTCTGGCTTGCACTGGAGGCTCTTCCTCCTCCCTCCCTTGTTTTAAGCCATGTTCTGAAACGGGCAGTCAGATGGGAGCTGCTTCCCCCCTTAGGGCGGGGAACCACCTCGCCGACGGCCGTCATCACCCTATCACGCTCACGTTGGACCATTACTGCCACAGCTGTTGTGCCCCAGGATTCAAAATATCATTTACAACCCTGGGAGGCAGGAGAAAGGAATGGGAGGAAAAATTCCGG